AATATTGCTGTTATTGAAAAACCTTTCATCATTTCCTATATTTAATCTTTAATACTATAATTCCTTTGGGATCTTGAGCTTTTGAACGTAGTCTAATAAAACCTTTATCTTGTTCCATCTATGCCATCAGTTGAAACTATCATAAAGTTTGTGTTCCTCAGCTTTTAGAATGATATTTAACTCGTATGCAAATAATTAATCAGCCAAGAAGAAACCCGAATTATCATTTGCTGTGAGTCATGAATTGTTTTTGAGAAATTAATAATGAATTCTCAAAGCGTTGAAAATAATATTGGCCACGATCAACCCTTTGATCAGAATCGACATTGTACCTTAGCTCACATTGTCGGTGACAATATACGAATACTTTTGAAAATGAGGTTAGCCATTGAATCAAACCCTCGCATCCTCTTCAAATCTGACATAGTCAAGCATAATAAGATCTGGAGCTTAAACCATGTTGCCTGAAATAGTAATATTAGATTCTTATTTGAGTATCCATTGCAGCTATATTCGTTAAAATTTGACCATGATCTTTTGTGTCATCCCGATTAGGAAATCCCAAAGTTTAATCAAAACCACTACCAAATCCATCATCAACCTCAAAACCGTGAGCCATTGTAACAGATAAAATGTATCCTCAAGTTAAAAATGTGTATAAATAAGCCCGAAGTCCATTTGTAAATCTTGTTAATCATTCATTCAGTTCATCATCAAACAACTATAATTTCAACAATGCAACCATCAACAATCACTTCATCTGCTGCTCCAAAAGAAAACACTGATAACCAAGACCAATTTGTCTGGGGTGGTACTGGTCCAGGTGCTATTTGGTTCACTTGTACTATTGCTTAAGCTGTGTCAAACAAATAATGATAGAATGCTGAAAAACTTGTCTATCTTCCTTCTTATTCGTCCTGCAAGTGCCATTTATTTCTCTTTGTTGCTGCTCATCCATTATACTAGCAAGTGGTGAACATGTATATCATTTAACTATTAATATATCCTTAAATCAAGATCTTCTTTAAATATTTCATTGCTCATGGCTAACGTAGAAACAATGCTTTCCGATTTTGTTAAGTTGCATAAATGGGCACAATCTGTCAAAAGCGTATCATTTTTCTCATAGCGTGGGTACAAGTGTAACTGCCCATCCGGTTTCCATTAAATTCAAAGCGTACCTGATTTGCAACGAGCACCGTTAGGAGAAGAAATTCAAGGAATTTCGATTCAGCAGCAGAACGGATAAGCAGAAACTCCAAATTGAGCATTAACAATAGACAGTCCACCTCTAGGTTATGGTTCAAAGTTTCTTTTGGGTTACTGTCCCAAAAGTTTCTCATTATGGGTCTTGTATTGTGCATAATCTTTTGTGTCAACCCGATTAGGAAATTTCATATTTGAATCAAAACTTAATCTAAATAGTGTAACCTCATAAACAAAATGAGTACAAAAACAAGCAGAAGTAACGTTTTGTAGATCAGGATCATCATTCAGCACATCATCAATTTACTTTAACTTCAACAATGCAACCATCAACAATCACTTCATCTGCCGCTCCAAAAGAAAACACTGATAACCAAGATCAATTTGTCTGGGGTGGTACTGGTCCAGGTGCTATTTGGTTCACTTGTACCATTGCTTAATTTTACCAACTAGCTGTTAATTTAAGTACCACATTAAACTTTCCATCTCAACTTTTCAAGGACATTCGTTTTCAGTTTATGCTTTTTTTGATTTTCTCAATTGAACCCATTAGTACTCTGATATGAATTGAATATCTGTTTCATCTATTATCTCAACCCCATATAATGCTAATCTTAAATATATTACAATATTTTCAGTCTGAATTATGATTCAATATCAAGCTTAAATTGTAGACTTGTTCCCTATTTTGTTCACCAAATGAAAAATTCAAAATCTCAAAAACGCGTATTATTGACCGCCTCTATTTGGCAGAATCATTTTCGCGGTTGAAGAAAAAATTGTGGGCGTAACTCTTGATCTTGATCCATCAACTTGTTATATATTGCAACATGTCTCTCCGTGAAAGACTTTCAAAACCTCAGCCTTTGATTTTAGATGGTGCACTTGGCACTTTGCTTCCAGATATATCACAGTCACACCCATTGTGGTCTACACATACTGTGCTGACCTCTCCATCCACAATTAAATCTATTCATGAATCATACATCAAAAATGGAGCTCAACTGATCCAGACATCAACGTACCAAACTAGTGAACGGGGGCTCAATGATTCAGAATTTGATGTTTCATTCTCCGATGCACTCAAAAGAAGTATTGACCTAGCGTATGAGGCTAAAGGTGGGAGAGATGATGTGTGGTTAGTTGGAAGTGTTGGTCCATATGGTGCTTCTTTAGCTAATGGAGCAGAATATACTGGGGACTATGGGGATATTTCCGATGAAGGTTTGATCAATTTTCACACTGAACGGATATCTGTACTCTGCAATGATAACAGAGTTGATATAATTGGGCTAGAAACTATGCCTAATAAACGAGAGCTAAGGATTTTGTTAGAACTTATGGATTCATATGATAAAGACTATTACCTAAGTTTGAGTGTCAATGGTGAGAAACTTGCCGATGGAACAACTATTGAGGAACTCTTGGGGCTTATCTCTAAAGGAAAAAGGCTAATTGCTGTTGGAGTCAACTGCTTATCTTTACAAAGTTCTCTGGAATGGTTGAAGAGGTTGAAAGAATCTGAGAAAATGTTGATAGTTTATCCAAACTCCGGTGAAATGTACGATGGTATCAATAAGAAATGGATTGAGAACCCTAATGGTAGCATGTCTTGGAAAGATTATGTTCAAAAGTTGAAGGCTATAGGTAATGTCAAAATAATAGGAGGGTGTTGTCGTACAACTCCAAATGATATAAAACAAATTTCAGATTTGGTTAGTGAGCTATGGTAATTATATATTGAAAGAGCTAATTTTCTGCTTTGAGTATTTTCAGAATAAATAGCACTAGACGTTTTATCTTTTAGGTAACAGTAAGAATCATTTTATATGATGAATTTAAAGCAATGAAGAAGACCAATTAATGACGTCTGGGCCAGTGTCAAGTCACCTTACAGTGTAGATAGTTTTGATTTAAGCGCGACTTCAGTCATCTCTTCATGCACCGATTGCACTGTACAGTGTACACTGAGCATCAAACAGGTCTAATTAAGATCATTAATATTTTATGCGCCTTATAGCACTACCACTCGGCAGCGATTTATCACGCCTTTAAGTACCCCTACAGCTTAGAATCTCAAAATTGAATGAATATATTTGAAAGCTAGAGCATCCTGATACTATTAAAATAACTTACATTTATTTAATCGTGCTTTGACAAAAGTTATGAATGCTTGAATGGCAGCTTGATATATTGATTATGTAAGCATTGCTTAACGGATCGTGGCTATTCAACACTTTAGCGAATATATCGAGTTGCGGTTTTAGCTCAGTCGGGAGAGCGTTAGACTGAAGATCTAAAGGTCCTGTGTTCAATCCACAGAAATCGCATTTATTTTTTGAGCCAGCCGGGCAACTGTTACCCGGATTTCAAAATACAAATGCGCCGCACTTTGATCTTTCCCATACACTCCACACTTTACAATCTCTTCAGATGAATGACAAAACTCTCGAGGATGAAGCTCAACAGTTTCACTTTGGCGTTTAGCTTTAACGTTTTGGGTTGTTTTCAATTTCCCATGAGATTAGACTTCGTAGAGCTGTGGTGCTGATTTTTGAATATAGGACCCTGAAAAGACCCTTTAGATCTTTAATTAACCATAGGTGCATCCTTGTCACCTTAACAAGAAGAATCCCTTAATGCAAAAGCTCGACCTCGGTGTAGCACTACAAGAGATTCAAGTCAATTAGCTAGCATTAAATGAAATATCATTGAGTTATAATTAAACTGGTCATAAAATAAATAAGTTCTAGTACGTTTGTAAATAGCAAAAGGCCAGCTTCAATAAACCATTATAGTACTAAGATTAATAAATAGGGAGCGTCAACATCATTAAAAACGTTTTGGTTTTGGCATTTGAATGGCTTTAACAGTGATATAAGAGTTTTCTCTAGTTGCGACACCTGCAAATGCGTTATACCAAGCTAAAATTGCAGTGATGACCCCAAAGACACCAGCAGCTCTTGTAACACCAGTTCTACCTGTGAAATCACCAATAGTTAACAACAAAAATGTAATTTCCAAGAAGAAAAACAATCCAAAGAATCCAACAGTTGATTTAATAGTACAAAGCATTAGTCCAAAAGTGAAAATTGTCCAACCTAATAAGAAGAAACTAACTGCATTTCTAAATTCAACAGGATCTGTATAAGCTTCTTTTATACCAAACCACTTGATATGAATAGCTGCAAAACTTAACCAAAACCCACCATAAGAACTTAAAGCAGTACCACCAAAAGTATTTTCTAATGCAATTTCCCACATACCAGCTAATAATTGAACTAATCCACCATAGAAGAATGCTAATCCAACAACAACGTTAGGAGTATGAATCCCCATAGCTTGTGCATTGTACATTGACAAGACAAAAGTAGTTAGAGCGAAACCGCAAAGACCTAATGGAGCAGGATTAGCAAATTTATGAGTTGATGGAACAGATACACCTGGTTGTAAAGTACCACCGAATGCTTCAATCAATTCAGATTTCAAAACTTTTGTACGACCAATATTAATGTATTCACCTTGATGAGTGATTCTTGAAAATTCTTGTTGGTCTTGTGGATCATTGTATGTTGTTGTTTGATTATCCAAGTTATTGTCTGAGTTTGAGATTTGTTTTTCCAAATCTGGATTGTTGTGGGTGTTGTATTGTGACATTTTGTTATTAGATTGCAGGTACTTGTGTTCTAAATATGTTGAGTAATTGAAGTTGAAGTTGTTGATGATTGAGGAATTCGTTTGATCTTTATATTAACCAGTTTATTATCTTGACACTTGAATGTGAATATGTGGAGTAATGACAGGAAAGTCTTGATGGTGAGATAAATGATTCTTGCTTAAATAGCTCATCAAAAGTTGTTGATTTTGAGTTTCTTGAACTTTGCAGGTATCATCATGCCTCCACAAATACAAAACAACATTATGAACAGACACGCACACAACAGCTCAGATTAAGGGCACACCCTTGGACTAAATCTACCATTTTAGAAAAAGAGACAGCTGTGGAGCAGTAAGGCTGAACATGAAGGGCTCAATTGCATTGACATGTTGTCGATCTAAATATCTGTTGTGTACGTCAAATTTCAATTGGAATCTTGATACAAATTGAGCAAACCTGTAGGACCTTGACCAACGCTTTCAACGAGACCACTCATATCCGTTGGCAGCTGTCAAGGACAAGGCATCAATCAACATTATCACCAGTAAGACACTAGTTAATATTAATCCAAAACTCGGTGATGGTCATTTAAATTCCAAATGTGTTCATCAGAGACCAAAGCTACTTTTCTTGGAACCCTACAGCGGGTGTGCTGAAGTAATATGTTACGTAACAAAGCGAATAAAATTAATTTGAACAAACATTCAAGCTGTAGATACTGGAAGAATCTATGAGATGAAGGTGATTAACAATTACGAAATCTTCCTCGATCTTTTAAAAGTTCAAGCTCATGTTCTTTGTGGTGGTTGAAAGTAGAGTATGTACTCGGTTTGGAACCGAGCCTAACTTTCGCTTCGGATGTCATGATGTAGTCTCTCGGTTTCAAACCGAGAGGCGGGTAAATCTCGGTTTTTTCTACTCGGTTTGACTATATTTATAAGATATTATATAATCATAATCAAATCTATAGTACAAATCTATATATGGTTTGAAGCCCCTACCTAAATACCACTCGGTCTCGGTCTCGGTCTCGCTTTTCAGCTTTTTTACCCTCTCGGTCTCGGTCTCGCTTTGAGACCCCAAAACACACCGAAACCGAGCCGTGTACATACTCTAGTTGAAAGTGTATCGTACACTAGAAATTGAAATGTTACGCGATCTGTCGGCCTCGGAGGTAGCGGTAGGAGCTTTGAAGGAGTCCGAGTGTCATTTAGCGCTGGGAAAAGCTTTGTGAAGATGGTTTTATTGTTTGAATTTTGAAACGGTCAAAGAATATAAAGAGGTTGGAAGGAAATAATAGTCAAGAGCTAGACAAACTGACCATTCCGTCGATTGTTGGGCAATTGATCAGATCATCAAAGTGGTGCAACTGATTTGTTGGCTCATGAATTTGACGTCCATATCAGGATTCAGCATGTCGTTTGAAAAGAAGCTGTCAAACCATATTACCTGTCTGACAGCCTTATTGTGGTGGGATAGTCGTATATGAGAAGGTCCTGGTAGTACTTACTACTGTTTGCTTACATCCATCTTTTAACGTGTGAATTGTCTCACTTTAAACTGGTCGAGTCGTATATTGTACAGCTAGCCAGTCTACTCTAGAATCTAGATTAAGTTTAACCTGTAGTAATAATTGAGATCGACACCTACTTCGCTAATTGATTGAATGTTTGAAACGCCATATTCCTGATCTTATTTGATAAGCATTATAATAAGCCAGCGCTTGAAATTCACTCGCAGTAAAACTGAAAGTTGTAAGGTAAACAAATTGACTTTATTGTCAGGTCAAAGAAGAACCCAAGGCAATTATTTATAGCTGCTCCTAATTCCTAATTGCAAGTATTCTGGATCAAGACATGAAGGGAGCCACTTCTGGCACAAGACTGTGGTTAGTCGATAAAAACAAGTCAGAAATATTGAGGACGGGCTATCGATCAGGATAACCAGGAGTAATATATGGTGAGTATGCCTAGGCCTTTTGAAGAACATTTCACTCTTTTTTTCAAAATTCAAGACAAATTTAGTCGCTTCAAACAGGATATAGTTCTTCATAAATTGGACAACCCGTGAAACTTCAGTGTGATTTGAGAATTGATATCATTCACCCAAGATGGATTAATGCATTTCTGAGGAGCAATTAATTGATTTGTGAGTGCAACAAAAGCTTCAATAAAAGTTTGACAGCCGATTTGAACTGTTATGGCTCACCTTTTCAGTCATTATGGGATTTCAAAGTGCTGGTGTTATCTTTAAGGATGAAATTCATTCTTGAAGGTTCAAAATTTTTAGAAAACACATTCGCGACAGCAAAATCTATTCAGCCGCTTATTTTTCCGAAATTTTCTAGATTTTTCAAGATCAGATACAAGAAAACAATAGCAATTGATTGCAAAAACACAATCCAATATCCAAATCATATCCCCAGTCAAACTTCCCTATTCATATTCCCATCATATAGAATAATAGAATATCCCATTTTCAACCATGACAATACTATCATTATACACTTCATCACTTCGTAAACATCCAAGAATTACAAATTCGTTATTAACAGGTTTCTTATTCGGTTCAGGTGATATTATTGCTCAATTCATAAATCCAACTGAAGGTAAATATGATCCTCATAGAACATTAAGAGCTGTTATTTACGGAAGTGCAATCTTCTCCTTTGTCGGTGATAAATGGTATAGAATCTTATCCAAGATAAAATTCCCTGGACCACCTTTATCAAATCCTAAATTAAATAGCATAAGAACTGGTGTTTTGAAAACGGGTATAGATCAATTGGGGTTTGCACCAATTGGTATTCCATTATATTATTCAATCATGAGCATATTAGAAAATAAAAGCATCGATGGGATCGGTGAAAAATTGGAAAAGAATTGGTTACCAACATTGCAAGTTAATTGGATGGTTTGGCCAATTTTCCAAATCTTCAATTTGAGTTTAGTTCCTGTTCAACATCAATTACTCTGTGTTAATGTTGTTTCAATCTTTTGGAACACTTATTTATCAATGAGAAATTCTCAAAAAGGTGTTCATTTACCTGTTCATTCACCACCTGTTCCTGAATAGAGAGTCATTGCATAATTCTCCAATCATAATTATACAATTCATTCATCTTACAAAAGACTATAGAAATATACAAAAGGTTTATAATCATGTATATATTTATTCTGACATTATTTATTTACATGTTTTCTCTGTAAGTTCATCAAATCATAAGTAGGTCCTGTTTCAATGGATTCATTATTACCCACGCCATAATATTGATTATATGGAAGATAATGCATCATAGGATATCCAAACATAAATGGGTTCAACATTGGGAGCGGGTACAATTGTTGTCCATGCATTGGTGGTGGCGGTGGTGGTGGCATAATGAATGGAGAATATTCAGTACTTGAAGCAACAGTCATAGCTGATTGTTGCGGTATTGGGAAATATGGTGGTGGTGGTGGTAATGTACCATCTTCTTGAATAGGTTGAAATTGTGATGATAGGGTTCTTCTTTTTGATCTGTTGGATGAACGTGGTGTCAATAAACATATTGGATCAGCTTCATTAACAGCACTTGGTGTTCTTCTTGTGGATCTAATTGGTGATGAAGCTCTTGTTGTGATTCTACTACCAACGCGAGTAGTAGATCTAGGTGTTAATAAGTTGATTGGATCAGGTCCAGTTGAAGGTGGCTTTGATGATAGCAATTGATCCATTAATTTTCTAACAGGAGAAGAATGTCTCTTTGGAGTTTGTCCATCATGAACTTTGTGAGTCTTATTTTGAACAGGATGTTCAAATGGTGCACGTCTCTTTTGAGGCCTTCTAAAAGATTGATTTGGAGTGTATCTCATTTCTGGTCTTTTGAAAACTTGAATGGGTTCAATTGATGGAAATGTCGCCATAAGTTGACGCACTGGTGATGAATGACGTCCAGTAGGTTCTCGTGTTTGACGTTGGTTAGATCTAATAGGTTCACTTCTTCTATGATGAGCGGCTCTTGTTCTAAAACTTGGAGTTGGTGATGATGGTCTATGTGGTCTTCTTGGTGATAAAAGATCAATTGGGTCTTTTGGAAGTTCAGGTGGACTTGAAATGGGTGGTGATAAAGGTCTTGTTGCTTCCCTTCTCGAAGCTGATAATCTTGTTGATGATGGTGGTGCCATTAATGACATTGGGGAGGCTAAACCAGGTTCCAGTTGTGAAATATCTCTAGTACTAGGGGCATTTCTAGATGGTGAAGATGACTTTGTAGTCTTTCTTTGTGTTAACAATGCTAAAGGATCATTATGCATATCAGTGGTTTGGGATGGAGCCGTTATCTTAGATGGTGATGATTGTCTTCTATGTCTCACTGGAGATGATGGTTCAAGTCTCGTTTGGGCTTTTCTTGGAGATGAAGATCTAGTTGTAATTCTTGAGGTTTTTCTAGGGGTCAAGAGTGAAAGAGGGTCATTATTCAAGGTTGCTGAAGGTTTGTTTGTTGCAATTTTCTTTGGAACAGATTTAGTCAATGGTGGTGGTGTTGTTGTTCTTGAATTGTGTAAACTTGACCTTTTGGAACGCTCTCTAGATGTTTTCCCATTTGTTAATAAATTTATAGGATCTTCACTTGGATCCATCCGTTCCTCATAGTCATCAGGCCCTTCTATCTGATTGATATCATTCCATATACTTGTTCTTTGAAAAGTTTGCAATTTTTCAATATGTCCTGTATCTTCTTCAATACTGAAATCTTTCAAATTTATAACATCACCTTGATCATCTTCATCAAATGCACTATATTTGGAAATGATAGAATTCCAGACAATATCAATCTTCTTTCTATATTCAATTTTCTTGATATCTAATTTTTGAGAATCTAACGAACCGCGTTGGTTATTTCTTTCTCTATCTCTAATTGTCAAATCTTCGATGACTTCTCTTCCGGTCCCTGGAGTAAAATAACGATGCAACTTCTTTTCATTTTGTTTATAAAGCTTTCCCTTTATTGGAGCAACCTCATCTTCTGATTCTGAGTCTGATTCTGGGTCTTGTGAAAGTTCTGATTCTGAATCTGATGAATCTGCTCTATTGTGATACGCGTCTGCTCTTTTTCTGGGTTGGAACGTGCTGTTTCTCCTGGAGGAGTAATTCTTCAATAGCAGCATATCACTTCCAGCTTAATATGTGGCTCTTTAATGTACCTTGAAGAGAGTTATTGGTGATTAATTGGCTTTTCAGTATCAACTATTAGTTTATTCAACTTGAAGCATTTTCGGGGTCTTTTCCTTATTCACTTTTTTTTTCGTTTCGCGATTTTCATGACAGACTTTCCGAATTAGGAAGGTCACCATAGAAATTGACAGACGTTACGGGGCGCAGAGTCGTACACCATTAGAATTTTGACCTTTAGCAGCTTTTAATTCGAGGAAACTGTGATTTGGGGATATCTTGTGAAGATCAGAACCTTCATAGAACTTTTTTATGCTTTTTGAGTGGTTATGTCGGTCGCTTTTTAAAAAATCTTAGAATTTCCCCTGATTCTTGTGCTTCGGGTCTAAAAACCAAAAAAAAAAACCATATCCAATCTTTCACCATTGCGTCGTGAACTTTCATCTTCAAATACTTCTTGTCGCTTGATCATCATATCATTGATCATACAAGATGTTTAAAAGGCAGTTTATTTGCAGATTCACTTATCAAAAACCCTCACTTGTCCGTCAAAATCTTAGAAACCTATCACAGCAAATACCCAAAAACTCACAGCCATCCACCACAACAACCTCATCTTCATGGTCTTTCAAGTCGCATTCAAAAAAGTACATATTTTTTGGAATTTTAGGTGCAGGAACCATCACATATTTTTCAAATGATACATTTCATGATGGTGTTAGACATACATATTTGACAGCTGGAAGAGTTTCAGTGGTCACATGGGCAACATTACAATGCTTTTATCATTATAGAAAAGTGTTAAACTCATCCCATGAAAGCAAGACTGAATACTATGATGATTTATCAAAGTGTCATTTGAAATGTGCAAAAATTACTTTGAAAGCTTTAGAAAAAAATGGTGGTATCTATATCAAATTAGGCCAACATATCAGTGCCATGACATATTTATTACCAAGGGAATGGACAGATACTATGATTCCATTACAAGATAAATGCCCAGAATCAACATTTGAAGAAATCGAACAATTAATCAAAACGGACTTGGGATTACCTATTGAAGATCTATTCTCCAGTTTTGACAAATCACCAATTGGTGTTGCGTCTCTAGCACAAGTTCATATTGGTGTTTTAAAGGCTACTGGTGAAAAAGTTGCTGTGAAATGTCAACACCCTTCTTTAAAACAATTTGTTCCCTTAGATATCTATTTGACTCAAAGTGTTTTCACTGCCTTGGATAAAGTTTTTCCAGATTATCCCTTAGTTTGGCTTGGTGATGAGTTACAGTCTTCAATTTACGTTGAATTAAATTTCAATAAAGAAGCTGAAAATGCTATAAAGACATCAGAATATTTTGAAAACTTTCAAAAGGAAACTGCTCTAAGAATCCCAAAAATCGTTTCATCTTCAAACAGAGTTTTAATTATGGAATATATCGGTGGTGCAAGACTAGATAATCTTGATTACATGAGTGAGCATCACATTTCACGTTCAGAAGTCTCATCATGTTTATCCCATATTTTCAACAACATGATTTTCACTCCAGGTGTCGGTGTACATTGTGATCCTCATGGTGGTAACTTAGCTATTAGACCAAAACCAGCAACAGATGCTAATCCTTCGAATACTCATAACTTTGAAATCATTTTGTATGACCATGGTCTTTACAGAAATGTTCCTACACAGATGCGTAGAGACTATGCTCATTTTTGGTTAGCACTACTGGATAAGGATCAAGAAAAGATGCAAAAATATGCATTGAAATTTGCAGGTATCACAGAAGAGCAATTCCCATTATTTGCAGCTGCCATAACGGGGAGAGATATCAATACAGCCCTTAACTATGATGCTTCCAAAATCAGATCAGATGAAGAAGTTAAAAACATGAAGGATGCTTTGGCTGGTGGTGAAATGTTGACTGATTTAATGAAAATTTTATCCAAAATTCCAAGGGTGGTGTTGTTAATTTTGAAAACAAATGATTTGACTAGACATCTTGATGAAACTTTGCAAAATCCTTTAGGTCCAGAACGTACATTCTTGATTCTTTCAAACTATTGTGCCAAAACAACATATGCTGAAGAATGTGAACTATCTAGAAAAGATAGTTTCATTTTCAAATGGTTCAACTATTTCAAAGCTTGGATCAAATACCAAGAAAGATCTAGTCAGCTCTTCATTTATGATTTGATCATGCTGTTCCAAAACTGGATTCATTCTTGAATATATTTATCCCATAAAGTCTAAATATACATAGTTTCTTTTTTCTTCATTTCTCTTTTAGCTCACTACCAAAAATCTTGTTGAAATCCTTAGCAGGTTTAGCTGGAGATCCTTCAATTTTTTCCATTTTGGCAAAGCTTCCTGCTGTGAAAGAACTTAATTTGAAAGAAGATGGAGATAATGGGATTTTTCTTCTTGGTTTAGATTGAGAAGACATTGGGGTTGATGTTGTTATTGTTGTATTTGAAAGTTTTGTGGTGGTTGAAGATTTGGACTTCCCATTCAGTTTGAAAGTCTTGGAGTGTAAAGATGCCTTGATGTTCCCAATACGAGATTCCATTCCCTTGGATTGTTCAATCATTGAATGTAATTGTCTGATTGAATTTGATTTGGACATTTTACTTTGTGATAATGGTCTTGGATTAGATGAAGATTTTGCTGGTTTGATAGTGGCTTTGGCTTTCCATTCAGCTAACTCATTCTTGGTATTTTGGTGATTTAGTTGCTCTTTCATTGTTTGATCTCTCGCGTCACTTAATTCCTGTTCAAGCAAAATTATCTTCTCCATGGAAGCATAATAATTTTCCTCTAATTCTTTGTAACTGACATTTAAATTTCTTTCGCTTTGCTCAATATTATCATTCAGAATCTCTATATCCACAATTTTTGAATTTTTAGCTTCTAAATCTTTTTCTAGCTTCTCTATTTTGGAGTCTAGTTCCGCGCGCACTCTTTCTAGCTCCTTTTCAGTGGTGAACTTTTGTTGTTTAAGATCTTTCAACTCTTCAGTAATCTCCTCATTTTTTAGTTTCAGCTCTTCATTATCTAGTTCTAGAGCACTGAGTTCCTTCTCTAGTTCTTTTTCTAACTCATAACTTGATGTTTGAAACTCATTTAGCTCGGCCTCCAATTGTTGAATAGCAGCCAAGGCACTTTCATAATCTTTATATTTCACTTGACAATACGATCTTTCTGGTGACGAGGTATTACTTTGAGGTGAGTCTGCCAGCAGCTCTAAGTTTTTGATTCTGGTAGTTTCAGGAGTGGACGCCATGGCGGTTATGATCTCATCACTCTTTGTAGTGTGTTTTGTTTGTTGGATGTGTTTTTTGGTTGTTTACATTTTTTCGTCAACGAGTTATATGACCGTTCAAAATGGCAGTGGGTTGGAAAAAAAATTACATACTAGTTGTTCCTACAAGGACGCTTCAAAATGTGTTTAAATACAATAGCTATTCAAAGGCTTCTCAGTTCCTCAATAATTGCAGATACAACAGATCTGGGCTCAGCTAAATCAGGGGCTTCATCAACCCAGTAATCAAGAATAGTTTCAACATCTTTAAAAAAAGCTTCAACCTTAGCCTTTGAAGTATATTTTTCACCAACTCTTTTAAACAACCCAAAGATACAAATCACAGAAAGGAACACATTTCTTGCATAAAACCAAGATCCAAAATGTCTATGACAAGCTAGTGGAACATTCACAGTATCAATATTCTCAAAACATTGGCTCAAAACCTGTTCAATAAATGGATGCGAATCATAGATGTTACTTTTGTCATGGATGAACAGATACACTAGTGGTCTGAATAGTAAAATCTTCAAAACAATCATTCTGGTACGAATAAAGTTGATTGTCTCTGGAACATCTGGGATTGCTTTCTCTGCGCGTTGTGATAGATCTGAAGATGCTGGACTGTTTGAATCTGCAGATGATGGTGTCAATGGTAACGGTGAATTTTGTTTGGAGATTGAAAACTCTGAAGTTGATGCTGTAGTTGCAGATGCAGGGGATTTTGATTCTGTTGGAGCTAGTGTTGACTTTGTTTTGAAAAGAAATCCATGTGGCTGTAAAACTCCTGAAGTTGGATCTTCTTTCAAAATTGACCGAAGATGTGAAATCATGCTGTTTTCAATTTTGCCCAAATCTTCAAGGTATCCTAATGATTTCTTCATGATTGTTTCCATGTCATATTTGTTCCAATTTAAATCATATTTATCCTCTTGAAACTCACCATCTGGTGTGCTTTCACCAGCAACCCCTGTTGGAACAAAAAATTCATCCAATAACCTGTTTTCAAATTTCCTCAAGACAATTTCAGTCAAATAGAAAAACCAGCTTGATTCTTCATTAACACTATTGATAGTTTCAATTGGTGGTGATGGGTAAATACTTGGAAATGGGTAATTCACAACACCAGATGAAGGTACTGAAGGAGAAAGTTCCACTCTGAATTCACTTTCATATTTAACACAAGTATGGAAAACTCTTTCTAATATTCTGTGCTCCGCCTCTGTAAATTTTCTTCCTGAACTTTTATAAGTTTCTAGAATGGTCATAACTAGCGTGGATGCCTTGTAAATACAATTCCACGCCTCCAGTGGTTTCATAATGTACATCAGATAATTTGCACAAAGTAGATGGAATTGAACATGATTTAGACTGAAACTTGGAATCATAGATTTGGGTACTATGTTTAAATTCTGAGCAAGGATGTAAAGTTTGTACGATAGTTCATAAGTCTCTGATTTTTCAGTTTGGGAATTAGAGTATTCTTGGTGGTTTGTGAAAGTTAATGGTCGAGCTATTGATGCTGAAGCTGAACATAAAACCACCAACGACATTGGAATCATATCATCTGGAAGCCTTAGTGAAAAAAGATCAACGTCTGGGTTTTCTTTCACTTTTTTTCTAATGAAATCAGAAGTCCTTAATAAAGCCTTGGAGTCAATGAATGGATTTTTTGTTTGGATTAAACTTAAATACCCATCGACATATTTTGGTATGTTTTGTTTTAAATTGGTATTCAACAACTGAAAATCTTCTCTTGATAGCATTGGGATCTCTGGTAAACCAATCTCGTTATTTTCTCCTAGCACTGTATTCAAAGAGCGAACATGATACTTATTTTCAAAAATTGGCCATTTTAAAACACCTTCAGCTTTAGTGTACCAATTACAACTGGACCAAGTTGGGATTCTTGGCTCTTCCTTGGTTATACCAGCGATTTTAGTGATCTTTTTACTGAGATCATCTGCTTCCTTCTTCACATTTCTATAAACACAGTTCAAGTCACTTTTAGTACAGCCTCCACAAACAGGTTTGCCTAAATCACATTTGATTTTTCTTAACCGACAAGATTCACAAGCAGTCATTGTACGACGTCTTGCAGTTGTAGTAGGGGTTCTTTTCCTTTTAGAAATTGGTCTTTGAGGTAGTTGCTGGTGTTGGTGATGATACTGTGGATATTGAGGAATTTGCTGCTGGTTCTGGAATTGATGCTGCTGTGCTATATTCTGAGGAGGATAGAAGCTATTGGGTACACCTTGGTAAAATTGTTGTTGTGGATGTAATGGTTGGAAGGGCTGGTTATGTATAGGGTGCTGCTGAGGTTGTTGATGCTGATGTTGCATCATCATTCCTTGTTGTTGAAATGATTGTTGGGAGTTCCATTGTTGTTGATACTGCTGTTGATGTTGTTGTTGAAACCCATCGACTGCGTACGACTGTTGGTTGGGAAAGGGAATTTGAACTTGTGGTGCATTTTCGTGTGGTGTAACTAAGCTGTTGTTTGACTGGTTTGGTATGATATTGTTTGTTTCAGCTTCGTTATTATCCTTCTCGTTGAGTAAATTGTGAATCACAGACATCTTTCTTTATACACGAAGTATGCAAAATACAGGTAGTGGCAACTAGGGCTATAAATTATGTTGCTCTCTGCTCCAATCACCTTCTTGAATGGTTTTATGGTCTGTGTTCAAAAGTTGTTTAGTTCAATTGAAGATATAGAATCATTTGATGATTGTACCTTTTAATTATTTTTTCCTTCGGTCTTTACTCTCAAGCTTCTAGAATACGCGCGACCACTTAGTCAAAGGATTTTTATCATTTCACTTTTGACGTTTGGAGCCTCTTATTAATACTGCCCAAGGCTCAAGTTAGCTTATGTGAAGTGGCTAGTTAATTGGTTGTATTAATCTACTGTTTATTAGCCTCCAGGAGTACCTTGGTTGCACACTGATGTACCCAAAAGTTAGCTTAACAATTGCTGTACCAAATTTCACCTCGTACACTTAAATTCTACATATCCCAGTCGCCTAACGAACACACTTTACGGAAGCCTAATTAACTTCAAAAAGCCTTGAAAAAAAATACCACTTTGTCCTTCAACACAGATGGTGCAAACTTATACTATTATGCGGAAATCTTCATTAATATTCTGTTGCAAAGGCTATAGATTACCTGCACCTTTGATAAAGTCCTTGGAAGTTGACAGAAGTTCTCTTGCGCTAGTGTCTGCTTTTTTTCGAAGGCCTCTGCTTATTTCCGAGAGAGAGCCGCCTAGTTGCCCTAGAGGCCAGTGCTATGGGAAGTGGGCAGACTCTAGACAGGTGCCAGGTGGGACTGGCCCTTGGGTGGGTGGCCTGGGGCCACTCATTCGGCTGAAGAGTTGGTACGTGGTGGTGAAGAGTTGGCTTGAAGCTTGAAACCTGGAGCCTCAGCTCAGTTATCTATGCCGACACTTTTGAATTAACAGGAAACGCTTTGTAGCACCTCCTTGAGCTCTATTTAACATATAAGTAACCTTACTACGTTGTATATATCGTGCATGTTATTGGGCATGTAGTTATGCTAGGTAGATAAGACCAGACTCCAAAACAGCTTGAATATGAAGTCATCGTTGTAGATCAACCTCATGTAGATAATTGAGCTCACTGAATCCTCGAAAGTGGTTTCAATAAATACAGTTACTAAAATTCAGATCCTTTTAACATTTCAGGTTCCTACTACAGTTGGTTATAGTCATAAGATAGGTTTAAATTTTGATCACGTGACCTCAATCATAAAAAACCTAATTAATTGTAAAAACATCAAATATAATGAAAAGAACCTGCAAAAAAACTCATGAAGGTATATTATTTGGGATTCTTATCTATTTTTCTTTGCATGATAGGTTTAATTATCAAAAATTACTGATGAAGCAAATCATTTTCTAGTTTTTCAAGTTAAATTAAGAAATAGTACGTTGACTATAATACTCAAATTTAATGTATTTTGTTCGAAAAAGGTTCGAAAAACAGCATAAAAAGCCAATGGTATAAATAAAAGACCAAATTATAAAGTCTCACAATTTTATAGTGTATTGTTTCTGCAAATAATTTGCTGTAATTCAATATTTGAAGTATTGATAGTCACGTGACCATGATATGTTTGGGATGAAATTTTGGAGTTTCAAAGCACTGAATCGCTTAGAAAATACAACTGAGTACTAATCGAGTACTTTGAAAAACGCTGAAGGTAATATTGCCTCCAAATGTTTGCTTTGGGGGCCATTTTTGCACAATATTAGCTAGATAAATTAATAGTGCAACAGATTTACAAAAATATAAAAAGGGCGTGTGGCGTAGTTGGTAGCGCGTTCGCTTAGCATGCGAAAGGTCTCCGGTTCGACTCCGGACTCGTCCAAATTATTTTTTTGCTGGTTTTGCTAATTTTTTGACACTATTAACCTGTTCACTAGATAGTGCTCATCTTTTTTAGTATATTGAGTAAAAATTTGAGTTCAATTATGTGTTTCAGCGTGTTGCAATTTCAAAATAAAAATGTGGAAATTGGTGCTACCATACAAAATTTTGAAAAAATTGCGCCCCTTAACAATTTCGATTGATTTTTGGTGTAAATTTGGTAATGTTGATGTTTGACACTTGACATCTAATTGAATCCTAAATATAACCAATACAGTTATAAATATGGGTATCAATTATTTGATTTTACTCTCTAGACAAGGGAAAGTCAGACTATCGAAATGGTATATCCCATTATCACAAAAGGAAAAGACAAAGATAACGAGAGAGTTGACTGCGTTGGTGTTAGCACGTCGTGCAAAGATGTGTAATGTTTCTGAATATAAAGGTGAGTGTTGATTAAATGCATTCTAATGGTTAATACTAACTTCATTTATAAGATTCCAAAATCGTTTACAGAAGATATGCTTCATTATTTTTCATAGCAGGTATAGATAATGATGAAAATGAGTTGTTGACATTAGAAATAATTCATAGATACGTTGAACAAATGGATAAAGCATATGGAAATGTTTGTGAATTAGATATTATTTTCAATTTCCAAAAAGCGTATCATATATTGGATGAATTGTTGATTGCAGGTGAAGTTCAAGAAAGTTCGAAGAAGGAAGTTTTAAGAAGAGTTGGTCAACAAGATCAATTTGAAACAATGGATCAATTAGATAGTGTCCTGACTTGAATTGCTACATTGAAGTTTTCAGATTATTTATGCACGTTCCGATCTTTATTAATGTACATTAAAGTTAGATTTTGAACCTGTATTTTCATTCAACTATTGTTTCTTGAACCAATAGATTGATATACTCATCATTAGTTGTACTAGAATTCAACTCGTGTTTGTTCTCCACTGTTAGCGCAGTTTCTCTAGCATTTTTAGTTTCGTCATCGTTCAAATCATTCCAATTCAAATGAACAAAATCTTCTTCATCAGCTTTTTTCCTAGCCAATAGAGCACCACCTAATCTTGGAGCATTATCAACTGTGCTTTTAACAGTCATTTGAACAACTTGAACACTAGAATTAGCATGTCCGTTCCCATTTGATCCATTTTCTAAACGAGAAACTTCTTTTTTATCAGCAACTTCCTTATCAATATAGTTAAAAGCTGGTCTCATTTGTGCACTCTTGCTAACGGGCACCAATACCAATTCTCCATTTTGTACACTAGCAACATAATAACCATCTGAGTCATTCATAACACCACGTAGAGTTTGCTTATTGACAACACCCCAATTGTCATTCTTTAGTGGATCATAAAAACGTGTTGTATCAATTGGAACATCAACTTCTATAACATCTGTTGAAACTTTTTCACGAGCCTCAAGTATACGGTTTTTCTCTGTGAATGGACGAGTTGATGGACGTCCTGGATATTGAAGAAGTAGTAGTCTTTCAGAAGGATCTGTGGATTTTAGGATGATTGGGATTTCTTTAATAACTGGATCCTCTAGATCTTGATATGTCTCTGTTTCTGAATCTTCCTCTATGGTAGGTTCTGGACCTCTTTGTTGTGTGTGTGGGTATGATGGAGATGGTTCATCCATTTCATCATCTTCATCCTCTTTGACAAATAGTTTGCTACTCATAATTAATCTTGTTCAACTGAATTATATGTCAAAGAAAGACGCTTATGTGTCTCGAGAAGTCTGTTTATAAATTTTTTTTTACTATGATGGGTTATTTTGATTCGGACACTATTAGGGAGCCTATGTACGTACTACAATTTATTTAAAAATCAATTAGGACATGACAATTAAAACACAATATGCTATATATACAGATAAGTATTAATTTTAATGCAACTGCTGCAATGGAAATAAATGGAAAAGAAATCCTCTTCTTTTTAAGGGTGAAAAATCAATAACAAATCAAATGAAAAAAAAACACAAGTATTATAAAAAACACACACACGAAAAACTCCAACACACCCAGCTTAAAGCAAAATCAATCTCTTTCATTATCCTTAACAGTTGCTTCTAAATGTTCCAATTGATCAATGATTTCTTTACAAACTTTAGTATAGTCATTACCATTAAAAGCTTCAACTTCAACTTTTAATTCACAAACCAAGAAATGCATATTTCTCCATTGAACTAATTCAAAATCATAACCAACTCTCTTAGCCATACCTGGACCGTATAATCTGATTCTATCACCTGTTCTTTCAAAGATTTTACCTTCATCTTTCAAAGTGATTGGATTCAATTTTGGGAAATTAGCATGAACAAACAAGATTCTTGGTTGTTTTGTAACTGGTTGTAATTCTTGATTTAATTCTTTGGAAGTTTCTTTTTGTCTTTTCTTAGATAATTCTAAATTATAATCCTCTACAGGATCATATTGTCCCATACCTGTCCCAACAAAATCATGATCAATATTAAAATGACCAAATGCATTCAAGAATTTTTTGACTTGATAATAAGAAGAGTTTAAAGCCACTGTAGCGGCCAAGAAAGTTTCTTTATCACCTTCACCATCTGAACCTTGGGAAAATAATGGATAATAATAATCAGGACCATATAGATTATAGTATAATGCCAAAAATAATTCTTTAGTATGTGAAGTTTTTGAAATCATCAATTGACCAGATTCTGAAGTTGGATCAGGAATAGCACCTACTCTGTCATGTAGTGGAACTTCCTTAGAGCCCTTTTCACGATCATCATAACCAAATCTAACTCTTTCTTCACCAATAGGGATATTTGCAATCTTGTAATAATCTGGAGATGTAGCTCTTCTCCAAAAATCTGGCCATGTGATCAAACCTGTATTGATGAATGGTTCATTTTCAAACAAATAATCTGGAGCATGGACTGGGATATTATCAGCATCTATCAACAAGACATTTTCAAAAGAGGATACGATTAAAGCCAAGGCCTTATATTGATAACCTTTAAATTTGAATTTGGAAACCGCTTCTTCACCCAAGGCATGTTCTAACAAGATACATTTAGCATTTAATGCTGGGAAAATTCTACCACATAAATCAGTTTCATATTCATCCACTGTAGGTATCACGACTTCAATTGGTAAATTTGAGCCTAAACTTCTTAATGATTTGATTGATAATAAAGCTAACCAATTGAATTTCCCTCCACCAACATAAACAATACCATTACCTTTATATAATTGTTTTGGAACAGATTCTGGTAATTCATTAACAACCAATTCATGAGATTTCTTCAAACTGTTGACTTCATCATCTGTTAATTGTAAAAAGCTTGATAGGTATTCTTCAGTGAATACGACATTTGAATCACCGTCATAACCTGCGTGATAAATACGATCATTTGTTTTGTATCTTTCCAATTTTGGAATTGTTGGTTCACCTTTTTTCAATATATCAAACACTGTATTGAATAAAGTATGACCTAATAGTAATCTTGAGCCAGATTTATCTTCATCCATATCTAATGATATCATTTTCAATTTCTCTAGCCTACTAGATTTTTGAGCAGCATCATCTTTTTTAGGTTTAGCAGCTTGAGACTTATAGAAAGGAACTGTTTGATCATCTGAGTCAACAGACACTTTTGAATTTTGAGCAGATGGGGAATGAAGATTCGATATTTGATTTGAAGTGTATTGTGATAATGAGGAATAGTTGAAAATAAACAACACCACTATGAAAGACAGCAGTATTAGAGAACCTCTCTTACGAAAGACTCTCTTTAGTTTGTATAACAACGCATTCATTTCTAACTGAATTGCCTTTCCAATTGCTCAAAGCAATACGTCTTTTGAATCTGGTATAGTTGAGCTTTTTATGAAAACAAACAAGATGTTATTTTTGGAGTCAACGTTGACCAATGTGCTCTTCAACTTTAAATAGAGCAAAATTGAATAAAGAAAAAAAAATCGAATCAGCACAAACACCAGACACCAGACCTAATAATCAGACAAGTAAACCCCCAGAGTGCGTAAGTAGTAGTATGCTTATGGATCGGATGGGATTCTTTCTCCAAGTGTTCGAAATTAACGCCAACAATGAACTGAACAAACGGTGATGATGATGAAGATGAAGTTGTTTATTTATTTTATGAACTGGCAAAATCGATGGTTTTTTAAAAAAAAAAAAAAAAAAAAAGAAAAAAAAAGCGTTTGGTGGTTCGCGCAACACCGCAGAAGATTTGAATCGAAAACAAACGTGAAACTGTTTACACCGCGACGGTGTTTAAGAAAAGGTATGTGACTACAGATGGATGAGATTGATGGCGTGTCTTGACTCTTGGTTTTACCACCAGAAGTCACCACCAATTGGTTGTTGAAAATGCATCTGTTAAGTGTATGCCTAATCCTGGCCATGTAGGTCTGCCAAAGTGTATGGAATGGATATTTTGGTAAAACAAATGATGAACGGGCTTAACGATTATCCAGACAAACGAAATCGAATAAAACACAACAACAACCCCTACACATTCATTCTATGATAACACGAATCAATTCTACTACCAAAGCTACAGTTCTTTCAACTCCTTCACGCTCTTTAAAGCTCAGTTAGGAAACGTAGATTTATTCTAGATCTGTGTACCTGCAAGGATCTTCATTGCATGAAATTAGTACAGATTCAAAAAAGTAAGAAATTCACGAGCAAAGTTCACCAAATTTTTGTATCTTTATGACACCATCACAGAATGTAGGTTAATCTAGATTGATGATCAACCCCTTATCGATAGATAACTTCAACAATCGAGATTTGGTTTCATCATATTTGAGGTATATACATCTCAACTAGTCATATAATCTAGTTTCAACACTATATGGCTCTTTTATTCATCAATTCTAAATACTTTGAAGTACAACTATAATCATTCAATGTGAAGTCTTCATTAGGATCACACGAGCAATGTTTGGCTAGCCTAGTGGATTTATCCAATGGACATTGCATATATGGTGGGTGGATGTATCCAAAATCTTTAATCCAGAAAATCTCATCTTTTTTCAAAAATAGACTTGTGAATATACTTCTAACGGGTCCATCACCCCATCTATCATAGAAAAATCCCCCAGATTCATCTAAAAACTTGAAGTATTTTTTGAACTCATCACTTCTAAAGAAATCTAGATCTGCCACTTCAAAATTGGTCCAAAAATGGCATAAATTATAATCACCCTCTTCATCAATTATGAAATCTTTCAAGTTATCATCTGGTAAGCTGGCTTGGACTTGTTCATCACCATTGATAAACTCCAAAACTTTTCCAAATAAAGTGGGTATGGTGACTTTAAACTCATATATTGAAATAATGAATCCATATTTTTTACCAAACTCCCTCATATACTTGAAAACATCATAATCAATATCACAAAACACTTTGATCTCAGGCTCAACTCTCCAATAATACTTATAGTCCAACATCAAGTCATGCCATTGGAAAAACCCACTATACCAACGACACATATGTCTATAGGATTCAGAACCGCCATAAACAACACGATCTTTCAAAGTTTCCATTGATTCCTTGACACGTTCTTGATCAATCCAATCAGGATATGACCAATGTTTTTCTTCAATTGTTCCAAACTTAACATTCCCAGAGATCATTGGTGTTACTGATTCTTTAAACTCTTGTGTGAATGGAACATCATTTAGAAATACCCAATCATAATGAAATTTATTATTAAACCTATCTTCTATCGATTGAATAGTTTCCAACATTGGATATAAATCTGAATTTCGACATAGTGTTAAGAAAGTAGCATTTTCTCGAATATGTTCATTGGGTACTAACTCTGAATAATATGTCCCGAAGTTGTTTAATGAAGTAGGAATATATTTAAGGTACAAGAATAATGGAATGAGGAGGGAAATTAATAAAGTTAGCATGTCATATCATGAAAAGAACATAAAGATTGAATGATGGATCAGACTGTTTGGGATGGTTCTTCAATCACCACGTTGAAGAATATGTCAAAAGCTTCCTGTAGTTTTTTTTGCCATGTCAGAATTTTTTTTTTTCAACAAGGCTCGTCGGGAGTGGAACTTCGCCAGCTGAAACAAGGGACTGGAAGCTGTAATAATTGTTTATTATCTTCTTTATAATAGTACACGTTTACTTGTAAGGTTGGCTTATGGAATAAATCCAGTGGTTTACTGAAATGGTAGTAGTAAAAGATTGATTGATCTTTGGGAAAACAACTTGAGTCTGAAGCGAGAGCCGAGATGTAGAAATTTCAGTGATCTTTCAACATCAAAAAACCCCAGAACCCAACCTTTTGTTGATAATCTCAATACAAATTGTCTCAAATAAAATTTATATTCATGAAATTGAATCTGAACCATTTCTTCATACGTTGTGTCAAAATGTTCAAATGCATTTGGTCTCGTTGATTTCTACAGACTACAGTGCAAAATAAGGTTTGTTTAAATTTAGGCGAGGAGCGCGTAACCATGGCAACCTACACTAGTGTACATACATGTACCAAAAATTCAAATCGATTCATAAGCTCATCATCACTTTTACCTTTTAAAATCTATATACAATTTTCTTTATTTCAAAAGCTACTACTGATCTCCACTAAACGATCACTTGTGATTGGATTCATCCCTTTGAATTCCATATGATATGTGGCTCTTCCTTGTGTTAAACTTCTTAGTTTAGGTAAATATCCAATCATTTCTCTTAATGGAACAACAGCATGAACAGTCTGATCTCCACTGAAACCGTCTCTAGTTTTAGTGAATTCTAAAGTAGGATCATATGGAACATATTGAGATTCACTTATATCTTTAAATTTGGCAAATTCAACATTATCACCACCTTCATCAATAGAACTAATAATACCTTGTCTTGCTGATGATAAATCTTGAATAACACTACCAATATCTTCAGCACCAACATCGACTGATACGTTCATCACTGGTTCCAACCCCACAAATCTTGTTTCGTCTTGTAATAATTCTAAAATACATTGACGCACTAATGTGATCCATAATGTAACATTTTGAGAATCTGGTGGCATATCAAATGAAGTCACTTTAATAAGAACAGAGTTCAATGGTAGTTTCAAAATAGGGCCTCTTTGAATACTTGAAATTGAACCAGAAATGAATGCATTGATACACGATTGATATGGCATAACCTTTTCCCAATTTTCAGGCTCCACTGGAACTTCTAATACGTTATTATCACCTAGATTAACTCTAACAACATTTGGATTTTCCTCGAATAACTCTGGTTTTGGTTCCAAAGCCATTGAAATTTTAAATTCATGTTCTGGAGATTCTTTTGAAACTGATAATTTCTCCAAAACTGTTTCCTTATAAGAAACCATGATTTGACCAATTTCAATCTTGGCTTTCAAGTCTCTTAAACGATCTCTTGCAATTTCTAAATGCAATTCTCCCATACCAGCGAGCAATGTTTGACCATTTTCCTCATCGACAGTGACTTTCAAACTTGGATCTTCTCTCAAAATAATCTCTAATGCTTCATCCATACTTCTTTTATCCCCCGAGGTTCTTGGTTCTAATGAAATGGTGAAGACAGGAGGTGGAACAATGATTGGATTAACAACAATACCTAGTTCTTTGTTTTGAAGCTTCTTATTTTGGATATTTGATAAGATGGTATCACCAGTTCTCAATTTATCACTAACTATAACACCAATATTACCAGCAGAAATTTCTGTAACATCTTGAGGAACATTAGCATGCATAACTAATAACTTACCAATCTTGAATTTTTCACCATTGACATAAACAGTTGCATGATTTTTCAATTTCCCACTATAAACACGAACAAACACCATAACACCACGAATTGGATCAGTAATCACTTTGAAAGCCATTGCAACTGCTAAGTACTTGTTTTGATTCATAACAAAACCTTCATCAGTCTTAACAACTGGACAACTAACTTCTGGTTGACACTCTATTGGAGATGGCAAATAGTAATTGACAGCATCCATTAAAGGTTGAACACCAATGTTTTTGAAACTTGCACCAGTCAATACGGGAACTGCATAATTAGATAGCGTAGCTTTTCTCACGGCTTTTCTGATGACATCTGCTGGAACTTTCATGTAGTCTTCACATTCTAAAAATGAATCAATCACTGCATCGTCAATTTCTCCTAATGTTTCAATTAAAGATTCACGACAACGGGCAACTTCTTCATAAGTCTCACCTTCAACATCTGTAACTTTAATATTATCTTGGTCAATCCATCTAAGCAGTTTTTTATCAATAATATCCAATACACCAACGAATTTTTTCTCTCTATTTTCCATTTCAACAAAATATGGAACATTTAATAGTAAGACCCTAGTCCCCAATTTAGCTATTATTTCCTTAACTGTTCTACTAAAACCTGCACCTTCTCTATCCATCTTGTTGATGAAGAACATTTTTGGAATAGTTTTACTCTGTTTCCAAACTTTTTCTGTTTGAGCTTCAACACCAGCAACACCATCCAATATAGTCACTGCACCATCCAAAACTTTTAAAGATCTAATAACTTCGAACCCAAAATCAGCATGACCTGGAGTATCAATAAGATTAATCTTGTGTTTATTCCAGGGTATAGTGATTGCTGCACTTTGAATTGTGATACCTCTTTCACGTTCAGCAGGTAAGAAATCAGTAACGGTATCACCTTGGTCGACATTCCCTATACGAGATGTGATACCACTATAATATAGCATTCTTTCAGTTGTTGTAGTTTTCCCAGCATCAATATGGGCAATGATACCAATGTTTCTAATCTTGGACAATGGGTGTGATGGGGCCCTCACCACCCTTGAAGTGTGGAATAGCCTGACAAAGGAGCCTTTCCACATGATAATGAAGCTATATCAGTTGGATAACAATAGCAAAGATCTTTGCTTAAATTTATTTCAATTGTTTCGAGATTTCTTCTTAAAAGTCGAGTGCGCTTACCGAATATATTTTTTTTCGCGAAGTCGTTTTAAAAAGTTTTCAAAAAATTGTATGGTGATGAAGATGATGAGCTTTTGATGATTCAGAAATCAGATTTATAAAATATAGTGAAGATGTCAGATTTCGATATTAAAAAGACTTATTTGAACTTTTTGGATGAAGATTCAGAGATGACCATGCCTATAGCGGCAATTGAATCATTAGTTACTCTATTAAGAGTTAAACAGCCTTCAACTTCTACAGAATTGATTAAACTATTACAAGATGCTACAGAGACTTTGAAAAGTTCTATTCCAAATGCGATCTCTTTATCTGCTGGTTGTGATTTATTCATGAGATTCGTTCTAAGGAATACACATTTATATCATGATTATGAATCATGTAAACGTCATTTGGTGGAGAATGGTCAATTGTTTTTAGAAAGATCTAAAGCTTCAAGAGATAAGATTGCAGAATTTGGTACAAGATTCATTACAGATGATGATATAGTGTTGGTGCACTCATTTTCAAGAACTGTTTTCACATTATTAAATCACGCAGTTGAGAAGAAAGTTAGATTTAGAGTTGTTTGTACGGAAGCTAGACCAACTTTTCAAGGTAAAATGATGGCCAAATTATTAAGAGAAAAAGGTGTCCCAGTCACTTTAATTGTGGATTCAGCAGTAGGATATGTGATACACAAAGTTGATAAAGTTTTAGTAGGTGCAGAAGGTGTTGCAGAAAGTGGTGGTATTATAAATCATGTTGGAACTTATCAAATTGGTGTTTTGGCTAAAAGTGCAAATAAACCATTCTATGTTGTTTCAGAAAGTCATAAATTCGTTAGAATGTTTCCATTAGCACCTGATGATATCCCAACAGATCAAAATGCCCTAAATTTCACTACAAAGGATGAAGATATTGGATCTTCTCCTCAAATTGATTTCACACCTCACGAATTTATTACTGCCTTGATCACAGATTTAGGAGTATTGACACCGAGTGCAGTCTCAGAAGAGTTGATCAAGATGTGGTATGATTAGAATAAAGGGCTGACTACGAGTAATTAGTCTAGCGTTGAATTAGTTATAGTGTATGTTTCTTGCAACTAAATTTCTCATGATATCTTGTATTCCTCTAAAATCTATATCTCTATTGATTGTTTTCATTCAATTCTTCTATAGTTTTTCCACCTTCAACAACAGATTTGATACTTTCTAAAATATCTTTGAAAGAATCAAATTGTCTGAAAACAACATTCTGTCTTCTACAATATGTAACTAGATCTTTACCTCTTTTAGCAAACAATAAATCCGTTTCTTTAGCAGCTGATAGATCTGAGACACCATCACCACAGTAGAACAAAGTTTGATCTTTGGCGCTCTTTCTTGACTCTCTGTATGGTCTGATAGCCCTTGATTTATCATGACCAAATGGAGTTTCATCTCTATAAATGATTTCCCATGATCCATCATCATTGACTTTGACATCATTTGAAATGATTTCAATTTGATCAATTGATTCTTCACCAACTAAACTTTGTAGTAAAGCTTTGATGATAGGTTTCATACCACTTGACACAACAATGACTGGAATGTTATTAGCTTGAGCCCAATGGAAAGCTTCTTTGAACCCAGGATCTAATTTAATGTTTTGTAATAGATAATCAATACATTCGGGGAATGGAGTTGGAATTGAATCCAACATTTTAGTGAAAGCTTCTCTGAATGACATTTTTTCATCCAAAATCAAATCATTTAGAACTTTACGTTTGTCATAACCAAAACCCAAGTTATCAGTTAAATAATCATTACTATCCTAAAGATAAAAAGTCAATAATTCATTCTTGATTCACATGTGGATTTCAAGAAACACATACTTGTAAAGTGACAGTTCCATCAAAATCTGTAAAGATGATGGCTTTCTTATCAGCGTGCTTGTTAACAAATGACATGATGCAAAGTTTCTTAGTTCCTGAAGTATTTCAAGTGATTGACAAAGTCCTATTGCTAGAGTTGTAGTTGTTGAAGGAATTTTATGAGCTCGGTCAAGGGTTAACCATCAGAAAAAAAGGGTACGTCACCGTAGAAAACATTGCGGCTCAAACCAGATCACGTGACTTGTTTTATTGCGTCCTGGTTATCCAGCCATTTTACAAAAGCAAGATCAGGGCGTGTGGCGTAGTTGGTAGCGCGTTCGCTTAGCATGCGAAAGGTCTCCGGTTCGACTCCGGACTCGTCCATTTTTTTAAAATTCCGGCGCGGAAATCGGGCGCTTATATCCGTAAAATTTTTGCTGCAAAATTGTAAAGCATCTTCTAGTAGAAACCGCCACAAACCAAAGCCTGGTGTTTCATTCTTTTTAGTGTTAATAATTGATACTGGAGGAGCATATGAATTGCGACTGGGTTGAGCAACTACTTCTTGAAAGCTCCACCATTGGTAACTGGCTGCGGTTCCTTCATCTGATTATCTAAGAACTCAGTTAATGTCCATTGATCTATAAGGAAAATATTGTCGTCTCCATGATCCAAATTAATCAAATTTTGTACTTGCAGTTAAATTATATTGTTTTCAGCTAATTTTGTTTTGCTTTTACTCAATGCTCCTGATATAGGCTGGAAACGACGACCGGTATAATGATTGAAGTCGAACCACGCGAATCATATTAATTAGCTGCACATTAGACCATTTATTAAAAAACCAGTATTGCTTAACTATGCTGAAGATGATGCAACACCTTTATCAAATGATCTCGTCATTGTTTATGAGTTTGAGGTCTTAAACGTCCTTGTGCAATTCACCATATTCATGTACGGATGTTTCCAATCAAGCCTTGAAGCAATAAATTACCAGCCTGTTATCGTCAAAAAAAAGTTAGTTGCTAAAAGAAATTGATACGCTGCAGCTAATTATTAATATTAATAATGCTGTGAAATATAAATAACTGGTATTGGAGGAGACTAGATATCTAAATTATGTAGAAAACAACAAAGGGTGTAATTTGTACTTATAGACCACCGACTAAAACCGAGAGACGATACTGATTAGCTGTAGTTAGTAACTACAACTAATACAGTATAGCCTATATAGAGGATTTAAGGGCTTTAAAGACTCTACAAACTAATTAGCTGACTAAATATTGATCAATTGTTGTACTTATAGTTATTGTTGATGATGGTACGTATGAATTACATAAAATCCGAGATACAATGGCAGACGCAAATAACGGAGAAAATATCAACGAATTTAGCATGAACTATAATGTCAACATAGTTAACAACATTGTTCTTAAGTAGCAAAACTATTTAAAGAGCCCAAGAACCCGCTCATTATGTACTACTGAAATGCGAAGTTGTTCAATTCATGCACTATAAGTGGATTAATATAATAACAAAACTTTGAAATGTCATCTGAAACTACAACAGTTGTTCCTTGGAAGAACTTAGGAAAGTCTGGTTTAAAGATCTCCAACATCATTATTGGATGTATGGGGTTTGGTTCAAAGAAATGGGATCCTTGGGTGATTGAGGATAAGCAAGAAGTCTTCAAGATCTTGAAAAAAGCTTACGACCATGGTATTAGAACTTATGACACTGCTGATAATTACAGCAATGGGTTATCAGAAAAGATCTTGGGTGAATTCTTGAAGGAGTACAAAATTCAAAGAGACAAGGTTGTTATCATGACAAAGTTCTGGGGTCCTACTGATGATGCTTATCCGGAAGGTTATAAGGGGATTTTTGTTGACTATATTGGCTCACCAATTGATAAGATCAATTTTTTAAACAATAGAGGTGCTTCTAGAAAGCATATCATGGATGCTGCTAAGAATTCTTCTGAAAGATTAGGTACTTATATAGATGTTTACCAACTTCATAGATTTGACAAAGATACTCCAATTGAGGAAACTATGAAAGCTTTGAATGATGTTGTTAATGCTGGTTATACCAGATACATTGGAGCATCAACCATGAGAGCTGTTGATTTTGTTGAAATGCAACATGTTGCTGAAAAGAACGGATGGCACAAATTCATTTCAATGCAAAGTTTGTACAACTTGTTGCAAAGGGAAGATGAATCTGAAATGAACTACTACTGTGATAAGACTGGAGTTGGTTTGATTCCATGGTCTCCTTTAATGGGTGGTGTTCTTGCTAGACCTGTTCCAAAAGATGAATCAGAAAAGACTGAAAGAATTAAAACATCAATGTTTACTGTTTTTTTCAAGTCAGCAGATCTGACAATTGGCACAAAAGGGCAAGACTCAGATATTGAAATCGTCAATAGAGTTGGTGAAATTGCAAAGACAAAAGGTACCTCAATGGCTGCTGTTGCAACTGCGTGGGTGATTGCTAAAGGTGCTGCTCCTATTATTGGTTTCACTACCGTGGAAAGAGTTGACGATGCTGTTGAGGGTGCTAACTTGAAGCTCACTGAAGAAGAAATCAAGTATTTGGAAGAGCCATATCTTCCAAGAGCAAGAGTTGCTTAAGCTTGAGTGCGAGAGCTCTACTAAATATTTAACAATGGTGGCTTGAGGAGATCAGTCAGTGCACAGTAAACACACGTATACGAGTTTATAATTGAATATTAGTCTAATGCATTATATGTTCAAAATGTCAATGCTAACTTAAAAATTGGCCATGTAATTTTAGCCTGACAGCTTTCATTCCCTGCTTTGACATGTTTAGACAAGCTTAGTATATGCCATGATAAGAAAGTTGACTAGTGACAGATCAGCTGCTAGTTCTTGGGCCGGTATAAATCAATATGGAATGTACCCCGAGCCAAGAAACCTAGTACATCAGCAATTTATCCATTTGTTACAATAATTAAGGAGTCCATTAAAGACGACTGAAAAATCTATAACATGGAATTAATATGAAGCTGTATAAACTTTTCGGAAGTGTTACAAGCCTCAGAATTGGGAGGTCAAGTCCATTGAGAGTGACTCTAGCACTCCAATGTTTATTTAGGCTAATCAAAACGACATAACCACCCCAGATGACCAGGTGCTGTAGAATATTCAAAACAAGTGAACAAGGGAATATTGAAATATGGAATTCCGAACAGTTGTGTACCTAATCAAGTGCCACGGTGTTAAGGGTTTTAAGCCTACAAAACCAACAGCTGGACCTTCAACTCCATGGTCTTCAATCTTTAACTCAACGCTTCATGCAAATAACGGCTATAAATAACGGCTATGGGAGCATGAGAGACTATCCTTCTCATGGACGTGTATATATATAAGAAGGGCAAGTTTTCTCGAGGTCAATTGATGTATTGATGATGTGGTTAACAACAATTAATACTTCAACAAATTATGTCTGCATCAACAGAAAGCTCTGAAACAACATTAGTTTCTTGGAAAAACCTTGGAAAGTCAGGTTTAAAGATTTCAAATATCATCATTGGCTGTATGGGCTACGGTACAAAGAAATGGGAATCTTGGGTTCTAGATGATAAGAAGGAGGTTTTCAAGATTTTAAAAAAAGCTTATGACCATGGTATTAGAACTTATGACACTGCTGATACCTATAGTAATGGGTTATCTGAAAAGATCTTAGGTGAATTTTTGAAAGAGTACAACATTAAAAGAGACAAGGTGGTTATTATGACCAAGTTTTGGGGTCCTGTTGATGATTCTTATCCGGAAGGTTATAAGGGAATCATGGTAGATTTGTTCGGTGCCCCAATTGATAAGATCAACTTTGCCAACAATAGAGGTGCTTCCAGAAAGCATATTATTGATGCCGCTAAGAATTCTTCCGAAAGATTAGGTACTTATATTGATGTTTATCAACTTCATAGATTTGACAACAATACACCAATTGAGGAAACTATGAAGGCTTTGAATGATGTTGTTGATGCTGGTTATACTAGATATATCGGTGCTTCAACTATGAGAGCTGTTGATTTTGTTGAAATGCAACATGTTGCTGAAAAGAATGGATGGCACAAATTCATTTCAATGCAAAGTTTATACAACTTGTTGCAAAGAGAAGATGAAGTTGAAATGAACTACTACTGTGATAAGACTGGAGTTGGTTTGATTCCATGGTCTCCTTTAATGGGTGGTGTTCTTGCTAGACCTGTTCCAAAAGATGAATCAGACAAGTCAGAAAGAACTAAAACATCCATGTTTAGAAAAAGATTCGAAGCCATGGATATCACATCCGAATCAAAAAATCAAGATTCAAGTATTGAGATTATTAACAGAGTCAGCGAAGTCGCAGAGAAGAAAGGTACATCCATGGGAGCAGTTGCAACAGCTTGGGTTATCTCGAAAGGTGCTGCTCCTATCCTAAGTTTTAGCTCATTGAAAAGACTTGAAGATGGTATTGAAGGTGCCAACTTGAAACTTACAGATGAAGAGATCAAATATTTGGAGGAGCCATACACCCCAAAAGAAAGAGTTTTCTATTGATTTGGTAATGGAAATGCCATGGCTAATGTCAATTTGTAACACATATTATTGTTGTCTCTCGATATTTCCAACCGTAAATCTGGTTATAGCACAAATTCAGTGATTATACATGTTTGAAGGCCAAGAGTACAATATCGATTAATTGTAGATTATTTTATTCAGTGTTCATCGACTGGTGTTGGCCTCATTCCATATCTCCTTTAGCCTTCGGTACTCTTGCCAGACCTGTTCCAAAAGATGATGCTGCAAAGACAGAAAGGGCCAAAAACTCGATGTTCAAAGGGGCTTTTGAGACAGAAATTTCAACCAATACAAAAGGTCAAGATGCAGACATTGAAACCAGCAAAAGAGATGGTGAAATTGCAAAGAAAGAAAGACACTTCAATGGCTGCTGATTTAAAACTCACTGATGAAGAGATCAAGTATTTGGAGGTGCCATATCTTCCAAAGGTTAGAGTTTTCAGATAATGATTATTTCATCAGTATTCTGTCACTATCTCTCGTGTCAATTAGTTTATTCTAGTTGGAACATATTTTTAGTTGTGTAGGAGGAATCCTTGAAGGTGTAGTTATCTGGGAATATCATTTTGATCAAGTACTTGTAGAAGAAAATACATCAAAAAGTCAACAGTGCAAAAAAGAATACAAATAAGGTCGAGGGCGCAAATATCCGCGAGTTTTAAAAAAAATCTTCCCCGCCAGGAGTCGAACCTGGAATCTTCTGGTTTCAGAAGTAGCTAGAAATCGTAGCCAGACGCCGTGACCATTGGGCCACGAGGAATAGATTTTCAGTTTTAAGACATGCCGTTTAATTTGAGATTAAAAAATTACCTATTGACACGTCAAAATGACAGATTTTCATCTATGAACGTCAAACGAAGCTTTTTTTGTTGACATTTAGTGTTTTCACTTTGGAACAACTTTCAACCATCCCAATCAGTATATACTTTGAGGATGGCGAAATCAACTGACAAATCAAAGCAAAGGACAGATCCAAGTCTTTTGTTCTATGGTTCAGCAATCTATGATTTTTTATCACCATTCAAAAGAGCACAGAATCAATGGGCTGCAAGATATATTGTGGTGATATTTGCAATCATAATCAGATCAGCAATAGGGTTTGGTTCGTATTCGGGTTCCAATACACCTCCAATGTATGGTGATTTTGAAGCTCAAAGACATTGGCTAGAGATTACTCAACATTTACCTATTTCAAAATGGTATTGGTATGATTTAGAATATTGGGGATTAGATTATCCACCATTAACAGCGTATCATTCATGGTTTTTGGGTAAATTGGGCTCACTAATTGATCCTTCATGGTTTGCACTAGATGCCTCGAGAGGAATTGAGAACCAGAATATAAAATCATTCATGAGATTCACTGTGATTCTCAGTGAAATCATCATTTACACTCCTGCTGTATTCAGATTCACAAGATGGAATGGTAGACATATAAAACAATCACCAATTGATCAAACAATAGCTGCTTCTATGATCTTATTTCAACCATCATTGATGATCATCGACCACGGTCATTTCCAATATAACTCTGTCATGTTGGGGTTCACTTTGCTCTCAATCGTTCATCTATTTTACGAAAACTACATGTTGGCGTCCATGTTCTTTGTCTTTTCATTGGGATTCAAACAAATGTCATTATACTATTCACCAATAATATTTTTCTATTTGTTGAGCAGATGTTTCAATCATTCCGATACAAAAGCATCATTTATCAACAGAATCAATTATTTACGTCTAATACTGATTGCAATCTCCACAGTGATTTCATTTGTTATTCTTTTTGGCCCATTATTCTTATTTGGTGATTTGGAAAACCTTTCACAATCTATTCATAGAATCTTTCCATTCGCAAGAGGTATTTTCGAAGACAAAGTTGCTAACTTTTGGTGTTTTTCAAACATCTTCATCAAATATCGTCAATTATTCACACAACAACAACTGCAACTTGCCTCATTAGGACTAACACTGCTTGGGTTTCTACCGGCATGTTTGATCACTGTGCTGTATCCACGCAAATGTTTATTGCCATGGTCTTTAAGTGCTTGTTCAATGTCATTCTTTTTATTCAGTTTTCAAGTTCACGAAAAGTCAATACTAGTTCCATTATTGCCAATTACATTGTTATATTCTACAAAAAACACTGATGAAATAGCAATGGTCTCATGGATAAATAATATTGCATTGTTCAGTATGTGGCCTTTATTGAAGAAGGATGGGCTAACATTACAGTATATGGCTGTTTTCTTATTATCCAATTGGTTGTTTGGTAATTTAAGTTTTATTACACCAAAGTTTTTACCAAATTTTTTGACTCCAGGTCCTTCAATTTCATTGATTGATGGTGACCTAAAGAAAAGACATGGTTTACCTTCCAGCTGGTTTTGGAAATTTGTCATATTGAGCTCATATATTGGTATTTCTTGTGTACATTTTGTTGACTTTTTCGTTCAACCACCTTCTCAATATCCTGATTTATGGGTTTTAGCAAATGTTTCACTATCATTTGGCTGTTTTGGTTTGTTCTGGCTATGGATATACTACAAATTGATCACCTTGCGTGATGTAACCCATTGAGTAACTACAGTGTGTGTATAACTGAAAACAGAACTAACAACTGTATAATATAAACATTTTAGTGGTATAGTGTTTTTAGCACTGGGGAAATGTGATTCCTTCTTTAAGTTTTCTATCAGCTGTAAATAGACCCCATTCTGTTTCCCATTTTGCATTTTCTTTATGATATACTTGTTTCCATGGCTCATCAAATGCTTCAAAATAGAACCAAGGGTAATCTCTTTGCTTAGCTTCACAGACCCAACTATTAAGAAAGTATTGCATATGACGTTTACCAGCAACAGCAGTTTTATACCGTCCACCTTGATATGGCCATCCTATTTCCGATATCACGATTTGAGGAAACTTATCTTCATCCATTTTGTCCTTCAATGGCTCTATTTGATACTTTACAAAATCATAAACCCATTTAGTTGCTAGCTGAACGTTACCACCAGTAAAAAATGGATGAGTATTGGATCCAAAAATGTCAGATACCTCCAATACTTTTGGATCTACCTTTGACCCAAGTTCTGAAGTACCCACTGATAAATCCCATTTCAACTCGTTTTGAACATATTCTTTAGCTTCTTTAATGTATTTTATAAGCTGATCCGTGCTTTGTTCCTCACGAAACAAAACTTCATTACCGACGTATATAGATTCAAAGTGCTTTCTTGGATAGTCCTTCAATATGTTTTTCATATCCTTAAGTTGTTGTTGATTAATATCATCATCAGGGCCAATCCAAACACCCATGGATAATGAGACATTCAAATTCAAGGTCTTGATAGAGTCTAAAATCATCCGAGCTTGATTACACTGAGTCCCATAAGTTCTTATTCTTGAAGTGACCTGTGATAGAAGCGCGACATCCAACATAACTTCATGCATTGTTGCTCCACATATTGGGAAAATGACATTTCTTGGTGCGTAATCAACTCCATAAAAGACGTTTTTTAACCCTCTTGTACTATTCATAACTTCCTGCATCTCCTCAGCTCTTTGATACTTTAGTGGAAAGTTTTCGAATTTGGAGATTCCAGCAATAGTCACACCAGAGTTGATATCATAGTATAGACTCGAATCAGTATTATTGGAGATAGTACCATTTTTGGCAGGTAATGTTGAGTTTGGTGTAATTGAACCTGATGTTGAGTAGTAGCCAAGTTTTGACAACAAAGAAGTCCTATGGATTGGACTGATATTATTCAAATACCTTTCAACCACAGAATCAGAACCTCTTGAATAAATGATCAAAAGAGGAACGAAAACACAAATCAAACACATGATAATCATGAATAAAATCCATATTACAATTGAATAACGTTTTTCAGATGTTACCTTCCTCAACTTTGCAGTGACATCCCCTGACTTCTTGTCACGTCGATCTCCCTTTTCAAAATCATTTGTTGGTTTCTTTGGGACTATAGGTTCTTCACCTGGTTTCTTTTGAAACATTGATGGAAGCTCCGCTTCTTCTTTTTCTGGTGACTTGATAAACTTTGTATCAATTTGGGCAGATTTGAGGCAGTTCAAATCAGTTTCATAAGTAACAGCCGCATATTTAGGATCACCTTCCACCAAACTCTCTCCATCAGCATCAAGGTAGTTATAATAGTTATCATACAAATTCTCATCAGGCTCTTTAGTTGGCTGTTCGTCATTATGATTCTTTTTCGGACGAAGCGTGCTCATAGAGCGACTCATACTATTTTTATCCTGTGAAAATAATAATGGGGGTGAGTCTGAATTATTGACAGCAGCAAATCCGTTTGACTTCATTGATCTGTTCCTAGATAAGCTGCTCTTTATGACATTTAAATAATCAGTACCAGCATTAATAGAGTTTCCTCTGACCAAGGTTTGCTGGATCTCTTGTCTCGCCAGATCATTATCAGCCAGCTGTCTAGGCTCAACGAGATTTGTGCTCGAATACAACAAAGCAGGAATTGCACTATCCCACATTTTGACAGTTTCTGGCCTTGGAGTTTCACCTTGTTCTTTCAAGATTTCATTTGGTGTCTGATTTGCTGATGATGATTCATACCCACTATTGTCTAATATTCTTGACGATTGTACAGGAATAGAAAACTCTTCTCTCAGTCTGGACAGAGGTTGTCCCGATAGTGGATAACTCACGTTAACTCCATCGATGAAAACTCCTCCATGTTGTAGTGTTTCTGGATTTGCTGGTGCAGTGGTTGCTCGATATCTTGTTTCCTCGAAAAATCTATCTGATGCATCTCCAAACATAGCTCCTGGGTTTGGAAGCCTAACAGTTGCCTGAGAGCTATAAACAGACGAGTTATCAGGTGAAATCTTTGCGACAACGGCAGTCTCTGCATTATCTTCTTCATCAGCGACCTCCATGGCTGACCGCCGGTATGGACTATATTCATCACTGCTATCAGTTTGTAAAATGTAAGAGGTTGGGTGTTCTATAGCAGGGTCGTCTTGATCATGGAAAGTTGAATAACTACCGAGCTCCTCATACCTTGGTTGTTGTTGGTCATCATCTTGGATTGGTTCATTTTCAATACTGGTGGATTCAATTGAAATAACATTCAAAGGAGAGTTCTCAGATGGTGGATCCGAAGGGGTACTAGCTTTTGTCTCTTGAGGTTGAACAGTTGCAGCATCTTGTGATTCAGCATAAACAGCTATACTCGACCCACTAGCAGCAGCAGAATTGTTTTTTGATTTGGGCCTAAGCTTGTTAAACTTCTTCATAATCTCTCAAGCACCGAACAAAACGACTTTGATGAATCATATGAAGCACTTAGCAAGTGATTACATTACCTTATAGAAACCATTTTTCAAATCACCACCAGCGGTAGACAGATAACTAATTGTGTATTTTTTTTTTGCTTTTGTGTAATTTCAACTGATCTAGTGTTTGTAACTTGAGCAGCATGTCGAACAATAGCACCCAGCACACAGGGCCTTGCAGCAGAGCGGTTCCTTCCAATTTCAGCCAGAGCCAATCAAAGCAGCCATGGACCTCACTTTCACCATCTTCTTCTCGTGTGCTGCCTTTCAGCTCGTGGATCAACACGTCCAGAGTCAGACGACTGCCTGTCAAGTTGTCGATGGCTGCCAAAAACGTGTGCCACGATGGGCTTCGCGAATCGGTTGGGGCAGAAGCCAAAAACGCACTGGAATTTGTTTTATCCCAAACCTGGTTGTCAGTTATGTTATCAACCCATTCACCACCAACTTTTTAACTCAGACGAGCTATTCCTGGTCGTTTGAGCAAGTATCCCGGATACTATCACCCATATTACTGGTATAGTTGCTGAGAAGCCTTGAAAAATGAAGTTCTCTCACTCTTTGCAGTTCAACGCTGTCCCTGAGTGGTCGTCAAAATATATCGCTTATTCCAATCTAAAGAAGCTCATTTACAATTTACAAAGAGAGTCACTCACTTCCAGAAAGATTAATGCCAACGATACGGAGGCGTCCTACTTGATTTCTCATGACAATCAACATCAAGAAAGAGATTTGTCAAAAGTGTTCCTAGCTGCCTTGGATTCCGAATTGAAGAAAATTGATAGTTTTTATAAAGAGAAGGAAGAAGTTACATATGCTGATTTTGAAACTCTATGTAAAGATTTGGATGATTTTGAGAATGAAATACGGACCACCCAATCTAATGAATCAAATACTGCTGCTAATACCCACAAGCAACCTTATCGTGCGAAATCAATCCCTAATGATTTTAATGAACAAATTGGTGATGATAGTGGGGTGATTGATAGTGATGATCCAAATTATGTCCAACCGTATAGAGGGCGTTCAGGATCCTTACAATTGAGCCAAAGAGCAAGAAAGAATTCAGACTTGGTACGTTCAAGGTCTCCAGAGTTTTGGGACACTGATTATGACAATTTGGCATTTGGTAATGATCCTTTTTCAGTATTGGCTGATATAAGAATTACATTGAAAAGAAGATCAATTGCATTGTTCACTGTGTTATCAGAATTGAAGTCATTTATTGAATTAAACAAGACTGGGTTTACTAAAGCTTTGAAAAAATTTGATAAATCATTAAATACCAAACTTAAAGCTGATTATCTTGAAAACTTGGATAATAATTCTTATGTGTTTAGAAGTGATACAGCAAATGTGCTAAAGGATAAGATTGATAGACTGGTACAAATTTATGCATCTTTAGCCACTGGTGGGAACATTGAAAATGCAAAATCAGAATTGAGATTACATCTAAGAGAACACGTTGTGTGGGAACGTAACACAGTCTGGAAAGATATGATTGGACTTGAAAGAAAAGCTCAAAATGCAACAGTTGCTAAACAAACTGACAGTAAAGAGGTATTAGTCGGTGAAGAAGGTGCCCCAATAAGCTCTAAAAGATTATTAAATCCAACTGCTTGGAAACTTTTATTCATCATCGCTGTGACTTTACTGTTGATGATTTTCTCACCTTTTAAACAAGTTGAACAAAAGAACTGCTTTGCATTATTAGTTTGCTCGTCATTATTATGGGCCACGGAAACCATTCCATTATTTGCAACTTCTTTACTTGTTCCTCTGTTGATTGTTGTTCTTGGAGTTTTGAAAGATGATCAAGGTGAAAGATTAGATCCAGAAGCTTCTTCAAAATTCATCTTTTCAGCAATGTGGTCCTCAGTTATCATGCTATTATTGGGTGGGTTCACTCTAGCTGCTGCATTATCTAAATATAACATTGCCAAAATTCTATCAACATGGATCTTGTCCAAAGCTGGTACAAATCCAAAAGTTATCTTGTTGACAATCATGAGTGTTGCACTGGTGGTTTCAATGTGGGTCTCTAATGTTGCCGCCCCAGTGTTGTGTTATTCCATTATCCAATCCCTGTTGAGAACTTTACCTCGTGGATCAGTTTTCGCTAAACAACTAATATTGGGTATAGCTCTAGCTTCAAACATTGGTGGTATGGCATCTCCTATTGCATCACCTCAAAACATTATTTCAATTGGTATCATGGACCCTCAACCTTCTTGGGGTCAATGGTTTGTTATTTCAATCCCAGTTTGTGCGATTTCATTGATTTTGGTTTGGTTATTCTTGTTAGTTTCTTTCAAATCAAATGAACAAGTTTCTATTGCAGGTATTAGAACAGTTGATGAAAAATTTACACCTACCCAATGGTTTATTTCAATTGTCACTATCGGTACTATTTTATTATGGTGTCTAGCTCATCAATTAGAAGGCGTCTTTGGTGAAATGGGTATCATTTCAATTATTCCAATGTTGTTATTTTTCGGTACTGGTATTTTAAGTGCTGAAGATTTCAATAATTTCTTGTGGACTATTGTCATGTTGGCTATGGGTGGTATTGCATTAGGTAAAGCCGTTTCATCAAGTGGATTATTGGCAACAATTGCTCTAGCCATACAATCTAGAGTTGAAGGATTTTCATTATTCTCAATTATGATTATTTTTGGTTTGTTAATTTTGGTTGTTGCAACTTTTGTTTCTCATACTGTTGCTGCCTTAATTATTGTTCCATTAATTGCTGAAATTGGAGCTCAATTAGATGACCCTCATCCAAACTTGTTAATTTTAACTTCTGCATTCTTGTGTTCATGTGCCATGGGTTTACCAACTTCTGGATTCCCTAATGTTACTGCTATTTCATTGGTTGATGATTTTGGTGAGCGTTACCTAACTGTTGGTAATTTTATCAGTAGAGGTGTTCCATCTTCATTGATTGCTTATTTGGTTGTTGTTACTGTTGGATTTGTATTGATGAGAGTCTTAGGTTTTTAGACTATTGAGTAACATCATTCAAATGTACATTATGCAATTTTATATACACATTATTAATCATTAATTTAGTTTAGGTACCAAAATATTCAGTATCAATGAATCTTTTTCTAAACCAGGTTTCTTTTTGCATTTTTTCGTGAAATCCAATTTCTCCAACGACAACAGTAACTTCTTTGAAGGCCTTCATTATTCTACTTAGACCAATCTCTGTAGCTAAATAAGTGACAACTGTGATATTTGAAGGATCAACACCATGATCAACCAAGACTTGAATTGCCATGATTATAGCAGCACCTGAAATGACTTGTGCATCTAATAATAAGACCCTAGTACTTTTATCATCGACATGTGGTGGTAATGATTCAGAATGTAATTGGGGCTCACCGGTTGTGGAATCTGATTGGATTAACAACTTACCAATGGCAATTTCTGGCAATGTCTTTCTCAACGAATGCATGAAACAATCACCAGACCTGATAATGTTGACTGCAACGACGGTTTCACTTGGAGCCATGGTTTGGAATTTGATATTTAATGGAGTTTCAACTTCAATAGTTTTGAACGCAGTGAATTCAAGGGCTCTGTTGATCAAGGTAGTTGCAATTCTATCAAAATAGAAGATGAAGTCGTCTCTTGGTGTCTTTTTGTTTAACAAAATTGTATAAATACCATGTGTTTGATTAGTTTTCTCTAAAACTTTCAAGTTCCCATTCTTCACATCTAATATACTTGTAAGTTGATTAATATGTTCCAAATGTGCTTCTGATTTCAACACTAATTGTTTCTTGATGTGCTTGATCAACATGTTGATCGCAATGACATTATCTGAGCCTCTTGGAAGGATCAAGTTAGCACTTCTCATTGTTGGTTTGACGAATCGTTCGGCATTTGGCTTCACTGAAGTGTGCCACTGGGTCATTGCTCCAGCTAAATCTCTTCCTCTGTACAATATATCACGATTCAACCTTCTAGCAAGACATAAGTCCAAGTCTGTGTCAACATAAACTTTCATATGCATCAAAGAGTTCAATTTTTCATGATAAAGACCATAAATACCTTCCACAATAATAACATTGGCACCATAGATAGTAATAGATCTATCTTCCACTCTTGAATGTTTTTCAAATGAATATACTGGAATTTGAGTTTTTCTTCCCTCTTTCAATGATTTCACACATTCATAACATAGGTCTAGGTCAATAGATTCTGGAGCATCAAAATCCCATTTATTCTGAAATGCCAATTTACTCTGTTCAGGAGTCAAAGGTTTATAGAAATTATCCAGAGACAAAAGCACAGTCCATGGAGTATTGATCTCTTGAATGATTTTGGAAGCAACACTGGTCTTACCTGAACCACTTGGACCAGCAACACCAATGATATAAGGTTCAGTCCATGGAGGGATGTATTTTTCTTTATCTTCGTGTAAGCTTTCACGAAACTCCTTAACGTCTTGAGGAGGATTGAAAAAAGAGCCTTCACCGCCCTTTGGAGCAATTCTAGAAGGTCTTCTAGGAAGCTTTGTTTCTCCCAAATTGAGATCAGACATTATCACGCCTTTTTTGTATACAGAGCTCTAGATTAAAAAGATTTCTTCTTGATGAGCTCAAATTTTTGTTTTGAAGTTGTGGTCCCGACCGATGCTTTTTTTTTTTGCCGTTCCATCAAACAACATCATTTTGTTTTGGTGAAGAGCTGAGCTTTTGATTAGGTCTTGAACAGGCAAAGAGCTGAGAATGTCTGGTGGGTTACAAGAAGGTACTGGAAGACAGAGAAAGAAGGAATCAGGAAGATGGGAAAGTGATTCTGAATCTGAGCCAGAAGTAGAGAGTGAAGCTCTCGAGACCAAAGAGGAAGATGTTGATCAAGATGCCAAAGAAAGAGACGAATTCTCCAAAAGGTTGATAGATAAAGATAATAATAAAGCAGAAGGGCCAAGCCGAAGAGATGAGAACCAAAATGTTGATGATCTACGTCAATTGGCCAGACAGAAATACTTGAATAGAAGGGAAGAAGAAAGATTGATATTGTTGGAAAAGGAAGTTCATGAATTGGAATTGGATGTTAAAGAATATGGATGGGAGAATCTTACTAGACATGAGCAAGAAGATATAAGGCATAAAAGAGAAGCTCTCGCATTGATTCAAGAAAGAAGAAGTATAGAGGAAGGTAAAGGTTATGCATTACCAGAAGATTATGTCACTGACGGTGGTAAGATTGATCGTAAAAGGAAAGAAGACGCCTTGTATACCAAACAGAAAGAAGTTGGTAAAATAATATCTGATTACGATCAATGGGAAAACCAACAAGTTGCACAAGTGAAAAAATCTAAGATTGCCCATCCTGATGAAATTATTGTTCCAAATCAAGAAGAATATGAATATGTATTTGATGATTCTCAAAATATTGAATTTTTACTAGATGATAGCAACACATCACATTTATCCAAAGAACAACAAGTCTTGGAAAAGAAGATTAAAGATGAAGAAGCTAGAATAAAATCAATTGATGATGTCAGAAAATCATTACCAGTTTACCAATACAGACAACAATTACTAGATGCTATAAAGCAACACCAAGTTTTGATTGTTGTTGGGGAAACAGGTTCTGGTAAAACAACTCAATTACCACAGTTCCTGCATGAAGATGGTTATTCCAAAAATGGGATGAAGATTGCATGTACTCAACCTCGTAGGGTTGCCGCTATGTCTGTTGCTGCCAGAGTTGCCGATGAAATGGGTGTTAGATTGGGCCATGAGGTTGGTTATAATGTCAGATTTGAGAATAAGACAAATGAAAAAACAGTGGTGAAGTATATGACTGATGGTATGTTATTAAGAGAGTTCTTGACAGATCCTGAATTAAGTGGGTATTCAGCATTAATGATTGATGAAGCACACGAAAGAACGTTAAGTACTGATATTCTATTTGGGTTAGTTAAAGACATTGCCAAATATAGACCTGATTTGAGGCTTTTGATTTCTTCTGCCACAATGAATGCAGAAAAGTTTAGTACATTCTTTGGAGGTGCCCCAATTTTCAACGTCCCAGGTAGAAGATTCCCAGTTGATATCCATTATACAACACAGCCAGAAGCAAATTACATACATGCTGCAATCACCACCGTTTTCCAAATCCATACATCTCAAGGTGCCGGTGATATTCTAGTTTTCTTGACAGGTCAAGACGAAATTGAATCTATGGCTGAAAATTTGACAGAAACTTGTCGAAAGTTAGGACCAAGAATAAAAGAGATGATAATCTGTCCAATTTATGCAAATTTACCATCTGAATTACAACAAAAGATTTTTGAACCTACTCCACCTAATGCTCGTAAAGTTGTGCTGGCCACAAACATTGCAGAAACTTCCATCACAATTGATGGTATTGTTTATGTTATTGATCCAGGTTTTGTTAAAGAAAATGTTTATAACCCAACAACTGGTATGGAGTCACTTGTTGTCACTGCTTGCTCTAGAGCATCGGCTGATCAAAGAGCTGGTAGAGCTGGTAGAGTTGGACCCGGTAAATGCTTTAGATTATTTACTAAATGGGCATATTTCAATGAATTGCCATCTAACCCAACACCAGAAATCCTAAGAACCAATCTTGCAAGTGTTGTGTTGTTGTTATTGTCACTAGGAATAAATGATTTGATTCATTTTGATTTCATGGATGCACCAGCTAGTGAAACATTGATTAAAGCTTTAGAATTACTATATGCATTGGGGGCATTGAATGATAAAGGTCAATTGACCAAAGTTGGACGCCAAATGGCTGAATTTCCAACTGACCCAATGTTAGCTAAAGCGTTGTTATCAAGTGCTAAGTATAACTGTACTGAAGAGGTGTTATCAATTATTGCAATGTTGGGAGAATCGTCTGCATTATTTTATAGACCAAAAGATAAGAAATTGTTAGCAGATACTGCAAGAGATGCATTCAGCAAATCAAGTGATCATTTAACATTGCTAGAAATTTTCAATCAATGGGCAGATACTGATTATTCTACACAATGGTGTCGTGATAATTTCTTACAATTTAAATCGTTAGTAAGAGCAAGAAACGTTCGTGATCAATTGGAAAGTCTATGTGATCGTGTTGAAATCATGATTAGTTCCAAAAATAATTCAAAAGAGAAATCAACAAAAGAATTGGAAACAAACATTGAGAAATCAATTGCATCTGGATTTTTTCCAAATGCTGCAAGATTATCAAAGACTGGTGATAGTTACAGATCGTTGAAAAAAAATCAATCTGTTCATATTCATCCTTCATCAGTACTGCATAAAGTTAAACCTCCACCAAAGCTGTTGATTTATAATGAATTGGTACTGACTAGTAAGGAATTTATGAGAAACTGTCTTCCTATTCAAGAGAAATGGCTAGCTGAGTTGGCACCCCATTTTTTCAATTTTAAAGAATTGGATGAAATTAATAACAACACTAAAAAGATGCCAAAAGTTAGAAAATAATAAAATGAATCATGAGTCCAGTGTAAAGCTACATTTTGAGGTGCTAGGTCAAGAGCACTTCTTATTAGGCTAGTTTCCTAGTCCAAATGTAGATGTTATTGTCAATTTAGGCACCATTGATCGATCACGCTGAGATAATGTAACTTCGATCCACACCTTCAATCACTATTTATACCTGTTACATAAAGCTATGTCGATCGAGCCCTAGAAATGAGCCAAAAGATTGTTTCCACAGTATTTTTTTAAAATTTTAAGCGAACGCGTCGCGAAGACGCGACTCTGGAGACAGAAAACTCAAAGGGGATTTGACTGAGAAAGGGAATGGAAAAAAAGGTGTTTACAAGTTGAACTCAAAAGAATCATTTACAAGTTGTCGCTCTCTTTGCAATCAATTTAGCAAGAGATTATGAGAGATGGAAAAGCACAACCCTCTACTTCCATTATGGTATGATTTATCACGTACCGAAGACAATAATGCTCTAAACTCAGCACCAAGAGACAGGAAAACAAGAGATGAGAATGCTGGTGGTACAATGTTCCATACTAGAGGAAGTGGGAGTGCAATATTGGCTCGTAAAAGAGTCCGTGATCAAGATGAGGGTGAACACAAGAGACGTACTTTTGACCATAGTAATAATAATTCCGATGCTATTTTAACTAGTGATGATTTCGTTGAGAATAACCCATTTACTGCTATTCCAAACCGTTTGACCAAGATGAGTTCACATCCTTCAAACCCTTCCTCAGAATCTGTTTATTTCTTCAATCAAAAAGTTCCAAGTTCACCTCCTATACATTTATCAGGTCAAGATCTTCAAAGTTCACCAAGTAAAGAATTTAATGATGAAACCATGGTTTTCACAAGTCAAGCTACAATGATACCTAACGGTACAGAATCAGATATGAATGATTCAGATGATGGTGATGACTCAGATGACACAATTGACTTCAACATTAATAATTTGAATAGAGTTCGAGGTTACATAAGTAGTGATTTTTCACAAGAAGATTTACATTATAAAATTGATGATGAGGAATTAAATTTCAAAGCCAGAACAGTGATTGCCAAATGTATAGAGGATGGTAATCCCAAGATTAGACTTGATCATCTTGGATTGAAAAATTTACCAGATGATATTGAAGATTTGAAAAATATGGTGTGTATTGGACCAAAGGGTATAGAAGTTCCTCAGATTGAAGTTTATGCATCTCATAATAAACTAAGGGTATTGCCTCCAAATTTCTTTGATGTGGAAAATGTGACTGTGTTGTCGCTAAGACATAATAGAATGAAGAAACTCACTGGTAAAATTTCAAAATTCAAGAAACTGACAGATCTATCACTTGCTTCTAATGAACTGAAAGTTATCCCATATCAAATATTGAAATTGGCTAATCTTACAAACTTCCTAGTTAGGCCCAATCCATATCTTTGGGAGTTGAAAGATCAAGAAGATGATTTTGCAGTTCAAGTTGCAGAAGATAATGAATGTCAAGAAATCAACACAAGAAGATACGTTTCCAGATTGAAATGGTCAGATTTACCAATCCAAGCTTCATCACAAATGGCAAGAAGTTACAGTATAATGAATGACAGGGACATGGCTGAATCAGTTTCTCCAGTACCCAAATTATCAGAATTATCCCTAAGAGTGATTAGTCGTTATAGAGTGTCATTATCAGAGACAAAGATGTGGAAGAGAAACGTTCCAACGTATATGCAAAAGATGATAGCTAAAGCCATTCAAAAAGGTGCATATGAAGAAACTTGTTCAGTTTGTGAAAAAGTTACAGTGAACCCTGTTGCCAAATCACTTGAATGGTGGGATATTCAATCACAAAAACTTGTCCCTTTGGTTCGCAAATTCTGTTGTGGTAACTGTGTCAAACACTGGCTTGACGAGGTTGACGAAGCTGTCGAGAATTTTCAAAAAGGTGTTGAGAGAAAAGAATCTGCTGATTGTGCTGCAGGTGAAGGTGTCGATGGTGAAGGTGACATGCGCGTTGACGAAGGCACTTCGGAGCTTAGATTTGATGAGGACTTTTAACGAAACCCCATAAACATGATTAAATATTACAAGTCACGATTAACGAATTGATAGAGTACATTTCATAACTAATTATTTACCTTTATATTCTTATCATTGGTGTAGCTTAGGTAATTTCCAGCCTGTGGATTACATCATCAAGACCAAAAAGTCACGTGCTTACGCTTTTTTTCGCGGCATGTGGCCCCGTACCAGAATACCACCAGATGATGCTCAGAGAAACCATCACTCCCATCACCAAACATCAGCATCAACAACAGCTAACTCATCACAACTCGGGAAATAAAAGGCAATTGTATCCTGAATTTTTTCCCTTTCTTGTTTTCTGGTTCAAAGACACCCCCAAAACATTAGAAAAGAAGATATAGTACAATTATGACAGTATCAACTCCCATAGTGAATGGTACTTCCTATTATACATTGAAGGCCAATACTAAGGAGTCCTTTGATGAAGCTGTTCAATTTTACGAAAATTACATTGGTTTAATTCCAAAAAACAAAACATCAAAATCAATTTTTTTACATTCTGGTCAAGAATTCCCTCATCATAGTGCCACAATTGAATTGGTATTGGATGAATCTTTTAAACAAAGTCCAAATTTTAAAGAATTACAACAAGAAAGATTAACTCAAGATTGGAGATCATTAAGATCAAATGTTGTCTTTAGAACCGACTCAATTGAGTCATTATACGAATTGTTCAAAAACCATCCAAATGTTCAAGTTCAAGCTTATCCTTCCGATTTAGCACCAACTGAAATTTATGTTTTAGACCCTCTAGGTAATTTAATTGGATTCACTTCATTAAGACACCCTTTATCAACTGTTCCTCCTGCATACAAAAAAATTGATCAAGACATATTAACAACTGGTCCAACCACTGCTTATGTTGAAAGTGCCACATCTGAACAACGTCGTAACATTGCTGTTATGACTTCAGGTGGTGATGCTCCAGGTATGAATGCCTGTGTTCGTGCTGTTGTTAGAGCCGCTATATATAGAGGTTGTAAAGCCTTTGCAGTTTATGAAGGTTATGAAGGTTTAGTTAAAGGTGGTCCAAATTACATAAGAGAAATGGATTGGCAAAGTGTGAGAGGTTGGTTAAGTGAAGGTGGTACTAATATCGGTACTGCTCGTTGTATGGAATTTAAACAAAGAGAAGGTCGTTTATTAGGTGCAAAGCATTTAATTGAAGCTGGTATTGATGCTTTGATTGTTTGTGGTGGTGATGGTTCCTTAACCGGTGCTGATTTATTTAGAGCTGAATGGCCATCATTAATTAAAGAATTATTTGAAACTGGTCAAATCACCAAAGAAAAATTCGATAAACATAAACATTTAAACATTTGTGGTACTGTTGGATCAATTGATAATGATATGTCTAGTACTGATTCCACAATTGGTGCTTATTCTTCATTAGCTAGAATTTGTCAAGCTATTGATTATATTGATGCTACTGCCAATTCACATTCCCGTGCTTTTGTTGTTGAAGTTATGGGTAGACATTGTGGTTGGTTAGCCTTAATGGCTGGTATTGCAACTAGTGCTGATTATATCTTGATCCCTGAAAAACCAGCAAGTTCAAGAGAATGGGAAGATCAAATGTGTGACATTGTTAGTAAGCATAGATCAAGAGGTAAACGGAAAACAATTGTCATTGTTGCTGAAGGTGCCATTGCTGCTGATTTAACCCCAATCACTTCAAAAGATGTTTTGAAAGTCCTTGTTGATAGATTAGGTTTAGATACAAGAGTTACCACTTTAGGTCATGTTCAAAGAGGTGGTACCGCAGTGGCTCATGATCGTATGTTGGCAACTTTACAAGGTGTTGAAGCTGTTAAGGCAGTTTTGGAATCAACTCCAGATACTCCATCTCCAATGATTGGTATAATTGAAAATAAAATTTGCAGAAGACCATTAATTGAAGCTGTTAAATTAACAAAACAAGTTGCTGAAGCAATTGAAGCTAAAGATTTCAAAAAGGCTATTGGGTTACGTGATAGTGAATTTGTTGAACATTTAAATAATTTCATTGCTATGAATTCTGCTGATCATAATGAACCTGATTTACCAGAAGATAAAAGATTGAAAATTGGTATAATCAACGTTGGTGCACCAGCTGGTGGTATGAATAGTGCTGTTTATGCCATGGCTACTTACTGTATGTCAAGAGGTCATACTCCATATGCTATTCATAATGGGTTTACTGGGTTAGCAAGACATGAATCTGTTAGATCTATAAATTGGTTGGATATTGAAGGTTGGGCTTCAAGAGGTGGTTCAGATATTGGTACTAATAGAACTACTCCAGAAGAGGCTGACATTGGACTAGTTGCTTATTATTTGGAAAAATATCAATTTGATGGGTTAGTTATTGTTGGTGGGTTTGAAGCTTTTGTTTCTTTACATCAATTAGAAAGAGCAAGAAATGATTACCCAGCTTTTAGAATCCCATTAGTGCTAATTCCTGCAACTATTTCAAATAACGTTCCAGGTACTGAATATTCATTAGGTTCTGATACTTGTTTGAATTCATTGATGGAATATTGTGATATTGTTAAACAAAGTGCTTCTTCCACAAGAGGTCGTACATTTGTTGTTGAAGTTCAAGGTGGTAATTCAGGTTATATAGCAACTTTTGCTCAATTAATCTGTGGTGCTCAAGCTTCTTATGTCCCTGAAGAAGGTATCCCATTAGAACAATTAGACTTGGACATTCAAGCTTTGAAACAATCATTCCAAGTTGCAGAAGGTAAAGCTAAATCTGGTAAATTGATTTTAAAATCTGCTAATGCTTCTAAAGTCTTATCTACAGATGTCATTGCAAGTATTATTACTGATGAAGCTCAAGGTAGATTTGATGCTAAGACTGCCATTCCAGGTCATGTTCAACAAGGTAGTTTACCATCACCAATGGATCGTACTAGAGCTGCTAGATTGGCTGTTAAAGCTGTTCAATTCATTGAAGAAAAACAAGAATTCACTCAACCAGTACATTATGCTGAAGAATTTGATCCAAGTGATAAAAAAGTTGGTGATACTGCAGCTATTTTAGGTGTTAAAAGATCACATCTTAGATTCTCACCAATTCGTCAAATCTATGATTTTGAAACCGCATTGAACAAAAGAATGCCAAAAGTTGTTCATTGGGAACCAATCAGAGAAGTTGCTGATGCTCTTGTTGGTAGAACTAAAGTTCCAACTACTTCATCAAAATAGATGCCACATAATTTAATGACTAAAAAAGAAACCCCCATCCTATCATGCATTCAATCAATTTACGATTAATTTAACTTGTTTTTTTCCTTCCTTTTTGCCTTTATTTACAATATATATATATGTTCAATGCTTTTTGAATTCTTTGATGTAGTTGAAAATCTTTTGCTCATATGTCAAAATCATTTTCGCGAAAACAAAGTTTATACGTTTGTTGCGGGCACATTTTTTGACTTAAAAAAAAGGCGCTTTTGATTTTCAAAACAAAACATCAACTCATAAAGTTTTAAAGCGTACAAATCATCACGACTTGTGTTCAAGGATGTACGATAACTCTACCAAGAATGACAGGAAGAAGCTAGAGGAACCCATAACACCAGTGATGCAATATATACCTTCGTTCCCCATGATGGGTTCCCGTAAAAGAAGATCATCAAGAGAACCCTCCACAACCACATGTTCATCATCATCATCACTTTATGAAACCACATATGATAACAATGATCAATCCACGTATACCCCTGGGCAGGGTGCTATTGACGGTCTGAGCAATACGTCGGCGCTGTGCACATATTCATCAGATGAGGATTCTAATACCGATACAGATTTGGATTTGGATTTAGCAAATACAAGATTATCAGAAAGGAAATCACAAGAGCTATTCAGACATGATTGGGATGATTTAACAGGGAATCATAGCTCACCAACATTGGTCAAGCAAAAAAAAATGATGATTATTTTTCACCAAAGGAGAATACACCAATTTTTAAAAGATTAATTAGTAAAAATTCGTTAAAACCTCAATTGAAATCGTTTAGAAGAATAACTGCAGAATTACAACATGAATCAGTGCCTTTAGAGAATGAGATCAACCATGAGAAGTTGATATTGCTGAATCTACAAGATGAAGAGCATTTCTTGAATAAGAGCCGGTTGAATAAGAATGATAAAACTATTAATGAGAATAATCATAGTTACAAAAAATTTGATATAATTAAAAAGGCGAATGAAAGTTGGAATCAAAAGAAACATGGGTTTTCAAAGCACAATAAATCAGAACATAGTTTCAAAGAAGGTGATGATGTTGTTCAAGATGAAGAAGATGGCGGTGGAAAGAAATTGGATGAAGCGCCCAAGATATCTAGGAAAAGATCATTTGATAATGAATCGATTTCAAAATCTAAAAGAAGAGCAGTATCTTCTTCTCCTATAAGTGCAGGATTTCTCAAAAGGGGTAATTTTAAACTGATGTCTAAGGCTTCTATGGAGTTTGAAAACATGTCACTTGGATGAAGGTGATGAAAATGACTAGGAAAGATGATTGAGTTATCATGGTTGTGTTTCCAGAATATTGGTAGTTTTTTGGGTTTGGTTTTAACGGTGTATGTATGGGTTATTGTATTGGGTTATAAATGTATGGAAATAGAAAATTAGATTATAAGAAGTTGGCTAAAGTATTTGAGCTCTTTTCAGTGAACTCATCACAATGTAAATTATCTTTTCTAATGAATTGTTATTAGTTTCTTTACATCTATATTTTAAATCAAGCGACATCGCAAAGTAACGTTGAAAACATCTACAAGTACTGATCCATCTATTTGTAGAACAGGAATATCAGATGATTAACGAGGTTGAGTATCAAAACATCAACACCATTGTTACACATCACAATATTCAGTTTTGATTATTTTTCAAATACTCACATATTGTCAAGGTGGCAATTCTATTATTCAATAGGATGGGTTTCTAACCAGAGAACTATGATATGGGGCAAATAATCTCATAAGATACATTTTACAGTGCTCTATCTAGTAGTTCCAATTGTAAGCAAGCAATGTATTTTATATATATAGATTAATATATATTGCTTCCTGATTTTCTGCATTCTATATTTCTATAAAGTATCAGCAACTATTAGTAGCTAAAAGCTGAAGTAAAACAGACTCGATTTATATAAGAATTAGCCGCCCAAAACTATTTCAAGCAGACGTGACGCTCTCAAAGATTGAGACTTGGTAAGTTTATTAATCAAGAGGGCAGTTAGCTGGTACATTCAAGCTGTTGATTCTAGGGAAATCAGCTTGTAATTGTTATTAATCAGAGCTCTACAATATGTGATTCATTTCCAACAATCCTCATGAAGAGTACTCAATGTCTATTATAATCAGTCTGTTGACAATATAAATAAGACGATTCTTACTGATCATGATCATCATGGTTCACTAGCACTATTAACGTCCACTCATAGTTAGTTATATCCTAAATGAAACCGTTATACAGCCGCCACTGTAATTCAAAATACTCTAAGGGACAAGTCATATTTTTATTATGATCAAACCACCAAAAGATTTTGTTACTTAACCAATTTCGCAGAATTTATAATTATTGCAACATGAGAAGAGAACCTAATATATAACGCATGAAAACTAGTGTATATGTATCTGGATCTTGATCAAATATTGTTGTCCGAAATCATGGCTATTTATACAGCTATCGACTTTAAAAATATTGATCAATAGCCGCCAGCAATAACCAGCGGCAAAGTGGGGTCATTTAATTATTATTATACGATGGCTATACTTGAACGATACGACCATGGCCAATTGGAAAGTCAGTAGAACTTTAAAGATCACATGAACACACTGATCAGCAGCTATTCAGTATATTGACTTGTATGAAATGTTGTATAATGAATATATTAGATCTCTTATTGTTAGCGTTGAAGTCTTTCACGGATAATTAAACTAAGAGTAGTACACTCATGGTACTAATAAAAGCCATGATCAGAGTTTCTAGTTCTTTATACTCCAACTAATGATCAACATCTAAAAGAAAACCTTACAACTTTGTTTAAATTTCAACGCACTCTATCTCATTCTGCCAAAGATGCCGTGTCAATTCTGCTCCAATTCGCGAATGAGATGCTTACTAATCTCAGGCTTTAAAAAAAAAGAATCAAAAGAACCTATCAGAACATGATCGTAGACATAGACCTTCTTTGAAACATCTCTTATAATCTATATTGAAAGCACCTTAAAAATGTCAAGAGTAAGAGCATTAGCAGCATATAAACAATCATTCAGAGCAACTAAAATAGCATTTGGTGGTATGTATTCATGCTCATCCTTCTTTTTACCTATGATTACTAACTTTTAAAAAGATGATACAAGAATGTTATTAGCAGCAAGAGCTCAAATTAAACAAGGAATGAGAAATCCAGATCCAAAGAAAACTGCAGATGAAAATATTAAGCATTTAGAAGATGTTTCAAAATTTTTGGTGTCAAATATTGTTCAAGCTAAAAAAAATGAAGCTGGTAAATTTAGTAAGTATTGAATGAGGTATGTTGGAGAAAGTTTTCAAGTACTAATATGAGAGTAGGAATGAACATTCATGAACAAACAGAATTAGGCGATAATGAAAGTATCAAGACTGCTAAAAAGACACTTGCTGCTCAAAATGGTGGCTGTTGTGGTGGTGGTGCCGGTTTAGTCCAATAGATGAAAGGTACAGAGACTTTTCAAATGAGTTTATGAATGGAAATAGTAAAAGTAATCATTGTTTAGTGATTGATATGTATATAAAGTTTATATTGGGATAATAATGGATTTACAGAAAAAATGATAATATTGAAGAGCTTGTGAAGAGCTTGTTGTGTAGTCCGAATGACTCGTCACTTGAATGAGTCACTGATATGTTTTTGAATATAAAAGATCAATTTTCTTTGTCCCATTTCGATGTTTTCCCATCTCCATACATAGATGAGATCTGAATCATCGGAATTATCTTTTTTCGCCTTGAAAAACTTTCTTCAAGCTCATCGATTCAAAAAAGCATACAACTGATCCCAATCAACAAGAATGTCAGAGAAGAGAGATATCCAAATATCCAAGGCGCTTAGTTATTTACTTCGTCATGGTGCAGCAAAGGAGAAACTACCAATGGATGAACAAGGTTATGTTAAATTATCAACAATTTTATCGAATAATCGTATAAAGACTCATAGGGCAACAAAGCAAGATATTGAAAGAATTGTGGAAACTAATAACAAGAAAAGGTTCACATTGATTTCAAGAGATGATGGTATTTATATCTGTGCTAATCAAGGTCATTCTTTGAAAACAATCAATAATGATAATTTACAAAAATTGGAGCCAAAAGATTTCCCATCACAATTGATTCATGGTACAACATTACCTAAACTGAAATTAATTTTAGAATCTGGTGGATTATCCAAAATGAATAGAAATCATATTCATTTCACTTCAAATTTAACAAATGATGATGCAAATGGTGTTGTGACAGGTATTAGATATAATTCCAACATATTAATCTATTTAGACATCACCAAATTACAAAACCAAGATGAAATCCAATTCTACAAGAGCTTAAACGATGTTTATTTAACACCAGGAGATTCAAATGGTGTGTTATCAAAAGAATTTTTTTTTAAAATTGTGGATAGGAAAACTGGTCAATCGGTTATATGAAATACCAGTTATTACCCAATCCGGAAGTCAAGGAAACGCGCTTATTATTTTTATCATTTTTTTTTAGCATCTTCGTCATTTTTTTTAAAATGAAATTGAAGGTTTAATCAACAAAGACACAATACGAGAAAAAGGTACCCACATCACCAACATCAAACAACTTTACTTTCAAATAAAATTGTCACATATTCATTATCGGATCTTCAATGAGAACTTGATTATCTCTACACTTTATTCATTCCCTTGACCATTCTTCAAATTATGTCAAATTCTAGAGCTCCATTAATGTCCCATGATAATGACGGTTATTCACCAATAGATTCAAATCAACCACAACAAATTGAAAATGAAACCACAGCAACAACTAATGAAAATGAGACTGTTGTGGAAAACCCTTTCAAAGAGACCCATGATCATTTAGGTAAATCAAACAAGAAATTATTTGCAGTTGTATCATTATTCTTAATTTCATTATTTTCATTTGTTTCACAAACTGAATTAACTTCATACCTTTATAACAATTTGGACTTTGATCAACCTTATTTATTACTATATCTAACACATGGTTCATGGTGGGCTATATGGCCTATTCAAGTCTTATCAATTGCCATTTTTAAACATTTTAAAAAATCAAGAAAATATAAATATAACGTCCTAGATTTTAAAAGATTCAAGAGAAATATCAGCTATTCTTTGAAAAATCAACATAAAAACATTTTCAAAACTTCAGGTATTGTCATCAATGAAAATTATCAACATGATCATGAATACCCAAATTCAATCCTAACTTTTATCTTGAGTAAATCAATTAAAAGTATTGCAACAATGATTTTCATTGTCACCATGATTTTATCAATAGCTGGTTGTACATGGTATGTTGCCATGGGGATTGCACCAGCCTCAGATATCACTGCAATTTATAACTGTTCAGCTTTTAGTGCATTAGTGTTTGCAATTCCAATCTTGCATGAAAGATTTAGTTATTTGAAACTAAGTAGTGTTGCATTGGCCATTATTGGTGTTTTCTTTGTTGCTTATTCTGGTGAATCTGGTTCAAGCGAGAAAGATTTCCCATATAGGGTTATTGGTGATATTATTATTGCAATTGGTGCTATATTGTATGGGTTATATGAAGTTTTATATAAGAAACTATGTTGTCCTCCAATTAATTCAGTTTCTTCAAGAAGACAAGTTGCTTTTTCAAATTTTTGTGCTTCATTGATTGGATTAACTACAATTTGCACCTTATGGATTATTATAATCATTGCACATGTTTTCGGTATAAGTAAATTTAAATTACCAACTAGTGGATATATGTGGGTGATAATAATTTCATCACTGTTGTCCAATTTGATTTATTCATTATCATTCTTAGCATTGATGTCATTAACTTCACCAGTTCTGTCATCTGTTAGTTCTTTAATCACAATTTTATTTGTTGGGTTATTTGAATGGATATTATTTGGTGTTAAATTAAGTGCTGGTCAATTAATTGGTGATTTGTTTGTTGTTATTGGGTTCGGTGTGTTGAGTTATTCGTACTGGGCTGAAATTACAGAGGAAGATGTTGATGATGATGAAGATTATGATCCTACAGATACTGAACAGCATGATTAAAATACATGTATTCAACTAGACTGAGATGTACTATAAAAACTTATAACAAGAAAAATATACCATAACAATGGTTATTTTCTTCGTATTATGATTTATCCCTGTAACTTTCAGTATCTAATTATTAATCAATTATTCATTTTCTCAACGTCCCTTTCGAAATCTGACGCGTTTTTTTTCCACATTTTCGCGTCTGCGCAGTAATACACAGGGTAAAAAAAATTAAAAAAAGCCCATAATCAAACTCAGGCTTTGCAAAGAAAATTGAAATCTTAAAAGGGCATTGTGGTTTTTTTAGTTCACAATTAAAATACAATCTGATAAAGTTAAAAAGGATCCAATATACCCAATAGGCTCTAATCAAACCTTTAATTGCTAGTTAACTTTCAAAAGAACCATCTGTTTTCAATTTTCAAAGGCGTTTTTTTTTTGAGGATTATTTTGTTTCATATTTGGAAACATCAGGAATTTGGTGAAAAAGGCTAAAGAAAGAGAAAAGAACTACACACAATTCAACTGAAGCTGTGAATTACATCTTACTGGTGCTTAATACTTGGAATACTAGCTTATTAAATTTCAAATTCAGATCACAACGTTGTTTCGCTGATCAGTTGTGGTTACATTCCCGTTTCGCTATAAATAAATACATTCCAAAAACTTTTAAAGAGTTGAACTATCCTTTAGCAACTACAACAGAGAAAGAGAAAAGAAAGCTGGTCTTTCTAGTGTCAATATGTCATTATCAACTTCTGCCTCAATATTCAGAGATGATGATTTCTCAAATTTAGGTCCTGCTCCCAAACCTCCAAGTGCTTCAGGTTTAGGTTTAATATCGAATCCAACTTCACTTTCATTAACAGGTAACAGCAGTGCTAATAAAATAATAAGACGTCAAGGTTGGGTACAAGTTAAAGATGAAGGTTTAATGTCATTCAGATGGCCAAAAAGATATCTTGTTTTAAATGATTCAAATTTAATTTTTTATAAAAATGATTCAAAAGATGAAATTTGGTTGAAAATTTCATTAACTTCAATTGTGAATTTATCAAGAGTTCAATTAAGACCTTTTTGCTTTGAATTAATTAGAAATACCGGTGTTAAAAAATCATTATTCATATCTTTGAAAACATTAAATGATCTATTTGGTTGGTTAGATGCTATATTTGCTAAATGTCCATTAACTGGAACAGTTTCAAGCCCGACAAATTTTACTCATAAAGTTCATGTTGGATTTGATCCAACAAGTGGTAATTTCACAGGATTACCAGAAAATTGGAAAAGATTATTAGAACATTCCAAAATCACAAATGAAGATTGGTCAAAAGATCCAGTTGCAGTTATTGAAGTTTTGGAATTTTATCAAGGTCAACAAATCGATGGTACACAACAATCTCAACAACAGCAACAAGGCTCAGGTTTCCATAGATCAAATAATTCAAATGATTCAAGTAATTCTGCAAATTCAAGTGATAAAGAAAATAATACAAATAGAATCTTGAATGATTTATCAAAACCATATTCAACACCTTTGAAAAGTCAATCACCTCCAAAAGTTTCACCATATTATACAACAACTAATACTACACCAACACCAACACCTAATAATAATAGCAACAATGGTGATTTGATACCTATGAGAAGAGCTCCACCTCCACCAAGACCAGCACAATCCAATACATCTGTACCAACTTTACCACCACCTTCATCATCTGAACCTTCTAAATTTAATCAAAATCTTAAAATCCAAACAAAATTACCAAATAATGCACCTGCTGCAATTCCAAATCCATATTTAGATGACGAATCTCCTTCAAATTCACCAACATCAATCACAACACCTACAAGCTTGAATAATAACAATGGTATCCCACCAAGACGTGATTTGCAACCAACAAGACAAGCTCCAAGACCACCACCTCAACAACAACAACAACAACAACAACAACAACAACAACAACAACAACAACTTCGTGTTCAAAGACCTGCTCCACCTCCACCTCATCAACAAAAGCAATTCAATCAACAACAACCACAACAATATAGACCATCACCACCTAACCACCAACCTTATAACAAACCTATTCAACCATTACAGCCTCAACACCACCATCATCACCATCCACAACATCCACAACATCATCAAAGGCAACCACATCAACAGCCTCAAACCAAATCACCAGCAGCTCAGGCTGCCCAGGCTGCTGCACAAGCTGCAATTCAAACAACACCAACTAAACTATCACCACCAAAAACAGTCAAACAACGTAATGAAGAGAAAAGGATAAGTGCAATGACTGAACAACAAGTTATGAAGAATTTGAAAAGTGTTGTTAGAAATGTTGACCCGGTGCCATTGTTCCAAATGATTGAAAAAGCAGGACAAGGTGCCTCAGGTACGGTGTATTTAGCAAGGTCATTAATGAGAAATAATTCAAAAGTTGCCATTAAGCAAATGGATCTAAATGCTCAACCAAGAAAGGAATTGATCGTTAATGAAATCTTGGTGATGAAAGATAGTCAACATAAAAATATTGTTAATTTTTTGGAAGCTTTTTTGAAAAATCAAGAATTATGGGTCGTTATGGAATTTATGGAAGGTGGTTCATTAACAGATGTTATTGAAAATAATGATAATAGTTTAGAAGAGGATCAAATTTCATCAATTTGTTTTGAAGTTACAAAAGGTTTAAAATTTCTTCATAATAAAAAAATCATTCATAGAGATATTAAATCTGATAATGTCCTACTTGATCTAAAGGGAAATGTCAAGATTACTGATTTTGGATTCTGTGCTAAATTAACAGCACAAAAGAACAAAAGAGCCACAATGGTGGGGACCCCATATTGGATGGCACCTGAAGTTGTCAAGACAAAAGAATATGATGAGAAAGTTGATGTTTGGTCATTAGGTATTATGACAATTGAAATGATTGAAGGTGAACCACCATATTTGAATGAAGAACCATTAAAAGCCTTATTTTTAATTGCAACTAATGGGACACCAAAGCTGAAAAATCCTGAAAAATTAAGTATTTCAATTAAAAAATTCCTAAGTATTTGTTTATGTGTTGATGTTAAATATAGAGCAAGTACTGATGAATTATTACAACATGAGTTCTTGAAAATGGGATGTGAACCTGCCAAATTGGCTAGACTTTTGGAGTGGAAGACTAGGGCCAATTCCAGAGGATCAAACAACATGATTGAATATGATGAATGAAATGGAAATGAAGTGTTTTTTAGTTAAAATTAAATTGTAGTGTATTATGAGAGTGCTCTTACCGTATTATTTTCCGCGAATTTTCAATTATTTGAAAATTGATCAAAAAAAAACATCAACATGAACCAAATAACATTACAATTGCAAAGAAAAGTAATTTAAAAAATGGCTAGTTATGAACGTCCAGAACGTCAATCGTACTATAACCCTCAATCCATAGAGACCCAACTAGCATCCCAACAGAAAAGATCCACAGCACACCGTCGTATAATAGACCATGGGGCATCATTTGGACGTTGGTCGATATACAAGAAATTAAACCATAAACAACCAAAACTAGGACATATAAGACCAGAAGCATCATATACCATAGATCTATTACCTGTTATTGATAATAAGAAGGAGCCAATCATAGATACCCCCACAAAGTTTGTTCATCTAAGTTCTAATAAGGCTAAACATGCAATTCATTGTATCAAATGGACACCAGAAGGTCGTAGATTATTAGTTGCCTCACATTCTGGGGAGTTTACATTATGGAACGGTATGACTTTTAATTTTGAAACTATTATGCAGGCTCATGATACTGCTGTGCTAAGTTTGGAATATTCTCATAATGATGATTGGTTGTTAAGTGGTGATCAAGATGGTGTTTTAAAATTTTGGCAACCAAATTTCAATAATCTAAACATTTTAAAAGCTCATGATGATGCTATTAGAGATGTTAGTTTTGCTCCTGGGGATGGGAAATTCGTTACAGCTTCTGATGATTCAAGTTTGAAGATTTGGAATTTTAGTAATGGTCAAGAGGAAAGAGTTTTAAAAGGTCATAATTGGGATGTTAAATGTGCAGATTGGCATAGTTCATTAGGTCTAATCGTTAGTGGGTCAAAGGATAATTTAATCAAGTTATGGGATCCAAGAACTGGGAATTGTATTTCAACATTACATGGGTTTAAACATACAATTACTAAAACCAAATTCCAACCGTCCCAGGATTCTTATTTATTATCTTCGATATCAAGAGATCGTTCAATGAGAATATTTGACCTAAGAACAATGAAGGATTTGTTCATATATAGATCCGAAGTTGACCTAAGTTCATTAGCATGGAATCCAATACATCATGAAATGTTAACAACAGGAGGATATGATGGTTCAATGAATCATTATAATTTAAACAATTTAGTTCCTGATACATTAGAAACTATTAAACCATTCCACACAATCCCATATGCACATGAAAAGGCTATTCATTCATTAGAGTATCACCCATTGGGACATCTTTTAACAAGTGCTGGTGCTGACAGATCTGCAAGATTTTGGTGTAGGGGACGTCCAAATGATCCAAATGTTTTCAATGATCCTCCATATACTAACGATAAAGTTGGTGCTTGGTATTTTGCCATTAATAATGCTGTTAATGCTGTTGTTCCTGCAAATGAAAATGTTGGTAAACAAGTTGGTAATTCGAATAATTCAAATAATGGGTATAATGATAGAAGATCATATAATTTACCTGGTTTGGATGGTGGTGATTATGATGGTGGGAATAATAGTAATAATAGTAATGGATTTAATCTTCCTGGGTTAGGTTATTAGAAAATAAACAAATATAGAGAAAAAAATGTAGTCTACAAAGAAATTAACTATCTATAGTATAAAATTAATAAATAAAAAACCAAATAAATACAAAACTTTGACATGCTCAATCACACGTCATTATAAACCAAATCCAAATAATCTTTCCCAAATTCCTCATAATAACAATCAATAAACTTCATAATCATTTCAAAAACTTGATCATCATGATCAATATTTTCCACTCCAAATTTCTCAATATTTGCACGTCCAACATCCTTCAACGTTATGAAAACGCCACCATCTTTAATCATTTCATCTTTTGTAATTTCTTCAAAAGCGTCTCTATATTTATGAGCTCTATTAATAAAATCTTTTAATGCAACATCATACCCCATCTTGGCATAATCAGGACCTTTTGTCTTTGCCCTAGCGTTATATTCCCAACATTTTTGATCTTCACACTTTATTTCCAAAACCATTGTGTTTATCTTTACACCAGAAGATGAATTCTTTTGCTTTATGGTGTTGAAAATATAATCACGACGTTCACGAGTGGAATTAGTTGCATCCAATATACCAATATCTAAATTATCCACAATTAATGAATTTAATAAATGATCTAATGAAATTGTAGCATATAAATCTCTTTGCTTTTTACCTTCTGGATTATTAAAATCAAAAAATTTTGAATCTTGATTTTCAAAATTTGATAATTTACGACGTATGAACCCAGCATTAAAAGTATCTATATGAACATTTGGCTTTAATGAATTCATTAGATTGGCAGTGATGGATGATTTCCCTGAAGCTGGAAGACCGACTAATATTATACACCATTTTTCTAATTGTACAGGTTCATTAGTTGGAGTTGTAGTTGGAGGTGCAGCTGTAGTTGTTGTGGTGGTGGTGGAATGGTGATCAACTGGTTTTGAAAAAGATAGTTGTAAAGCTTCAGTTAATGACGTTAGGGAAGGTGATAAAGGTGAATGTTTAAACTGTATTGGAGAATGTGCTGTTGTGGATATTGAAGTGGCGACTGATGAGGATGATGAATTTCTTGAAAATGTTGAAGATGTGGTGGATTCATTTGATTTTAATCTCTGAAGAGGTAATTTTTCAGGTATTATGAGTGATTCAGGCATCATCGACACTCTTTGGTTGTTGTCTGATTGCATGATGCTAGTGGATGTAAACTTCTTGTACTGTCTAAGGACAGAAATGAGGTATGCTCTTGAAGATAAAGAAATCATATTGTTTTAAAAAATTGATGAATCCACGAGTATTAAATAACTTCAACGTTATCTGGTACGCGCCACAAACAATCTCTCGTGTTTTTCCTTTTTCTGTTTTATATTTTTTCCGTTGGCCGGAAGAACTATTTTTTTTTCAATTTAGTGTAATGGCACAGCAGAAATGACGTGTCCCGGTGAAGATCCAGTCCAAGGCGAAGAGAGCGATGGCATGGGTTCAGGGGTCGTTTATATAGAGAATTTAGGTGAACAGATTATAGAGGTTTGAATAGTTTTCTGTTTGTGCTATTGTTTTTCTGGTGGATGCTTTGGGTAATGGTAGCCTCAGCAGAAATTAATTTTGAACGTGAGAGGGGAAACACCACGAGAGGGAAGGGGATTATTAGGTAAGATGTTAGGTAAGCATAGGCCATATTATGTAATCACGGATGGTGGTGCTGGTAGGGCCAGAACCGAGATAAGCACAGTGACGTTTAAAATTAATTTGATTACAATTGGTAGAATTTATAATTCGTTTATTCACCTCTCCATCAACTCTTTAATGAAGCGTTTGTAGCCACGTATCTCCTTCTCCTGTCGTAGCACAACTTCATCTTGATCTCTAGTATTCTTCATTTCATCCAACCTCAATTTCAACGATTCATTCTGTGTTCTCAACTCTTTATTCTCTATTTTAACCCGTTCATTACTCTTTTGTAATGTTTCATAAAGATTCTCCAAGAATTTATAATTTTTCTCATAAAATTGTATCTTCAATTCACTATTCTCACTTAATTCATAAATCAATTTTGAAATTTGATTAGTTTCCTCCTCATTAATCTTGATATCTGTCCCACTTATCCTTTGTAATACTTGTAAACTCTTGCAAAGATAATGATCATTACCTTGTTCTTTCTTTTCATTATACTGTATTGTGCCATTAACCGCCCTGTTGATCGTAATTCTATCGTCATCAGCCTTATTCGTTATAACCGTTTTGAACTTATTCTGAACTTTCCCATTCCTTAATGAATCATAAGTGTTATCCAGCAGTATTTGTGAGTTTAATGGTTGTTCATCACCACTCAGATCATCATCATCAATCTGGGTATCGTCTAACGAAAGATCAAATGTCTTTTCTGTGATGGAGATACAATCATGATCTGGCATATTGACTTCAACACAATCTATGAAATCACCTCTTTAACCTCTTTGAAATTTCAATCCCAACTGATTCTTAAACCAATCAATCTTTTCTCGATCTTTCAATATTCTTTTGAGTTTAGTTTCTTCTTTGTTTTCATTTCCTCAATTTTTTTCTTCCTCTTCGCGAAACTCACTTTTTTCGCGTATCGCGTCTACAAGTATAACAAGAATATCTAGAATTTATTATATCAAACTATCACCTCCATTCCACCCATTATTACTCTTATTCACACTGTTACCACGCTTCATAGGCTGCATCAACTGTGTACTGAACCCTGGTGGTAGATTACTAGTAGTATTCATACTAGTATTCATACTAGTATTCATACTAGTATTCATAGTAGGAGTTTTCATACTTGGAGATTGAGACTTTGGCTGTAACACACCATACCCACCAATCTTACCACTCTCTGAACTCCAATCAATCCCCGTATTAGGTGTTGGTGTCGTGTTTCTCGTTGATGGAGCTGAAACGAAATCATCAAACTGATCATCATCGAAATTATTTGATAATGATGATGTATTTCTTAAATTTTGTACAGCTTTTGGTATGTTCCCATTTGAATTTGAGCCGAAATTTAAATCTGTCTTGTGTGGTTTAGGTTTTAGTGAGAGTGGTTTTGCTGCTGGTTTGGATTTGGTGTTGTTTGTAGTTGGTGATAATGGAGTATCTCTTAGTCCAATATGCAGCTTTGCGGGTTGCTCAGTGTGATCTTCTTTACCATATAATAAATGTCTGAATTTTTCACCATCATCTTCATCATCTTTAGGTTTACTGCCTTCCAAGGATTTCAATTTCTTCATATGATTGGATTGGATTCTTTGTGAGATTCCATTAATAACATCATTATAATTTTGATATAAACTTGTTGATAAATTTGAAGAGATTGATAATAACCATAATTGAGGTATTATAAGCTCCACAACATGTTCTTCATCCAATATTTCTGAGGAAGTTGAATAAACTTTTAATATTGCCTCCAAGATTTTCAATTCTCGTGTCTTCATTGATTTTAATAATGGTAATAAAGTTTCATTTATAGTGAATTTATCAATCCCTTTACGTTCAATTAATGTATTGAATGAATATATTGTTTGCACTTTAACTGTTAATGATGTAGTTTTGGCGAAAATGGAACAAATCTTGGGGAAGATATTGTTTTTAATAGTGGGGAAATCAATAGATTGTAAAAAAAAATCAATATTTTCTAATGATTTTGTTTGGATTTGAGAATTTGCCTTTAGATCAAGTGTTTTTTCACTTAATTTGATTAATAATTTTTTAAATTCATCATTTTTGATTTTTTTCTGTAGGATTTTCAAATTTTCCAATAATACAATTTGTGCTTCAGATGTGGAAATTAATGATTCATTTGAAATTGTTGAGAAGACTTTATCATGGAAGGTTAATTGAGATAACGTATCACCTATCAAAAGCACAATTGTTAATGATACTTGAATTAATGATGTTATTAATTTAGGTCCATTATTTAACAATTCTAATAAAATTGGCATTATTTTCTTTTGTAATATTGATGTTGGGAATAATGGTAATAAATTAACTAATGATTTTAAAAAAATTAATTTCTCATCATCATTTTTAGTAGGGAATTCATCAAGGAAAATCATTGTTTTAATTAATGGATTATCAAAATATCCACTTGATAAAAAATCCTGGATTGTTAATCTTTGATTTGGATATCTTGATAACATCATTGGTAATATCTCTAATAAAGAATCTGGAACTTTTTTGAAAAAAGATTTCAAATTGTTTTGTTTTAATAATTTTTCAAATTTATTAAATTCATCTTTATAATAACTTGTTGAATTACTGCAATTTAATAAATTTTTTTCACCATGGTTATATAAATAATGAATAACACAACCTAATGAAAAAATATCACTTGCTGGATAAATCTTGTTATCATAAACTAATTCTGGTGCAGTGAAATTTAAGTTAATATTTACAAAATTTGGCATTCTTGGATCATATTGTGGGATGAAAAATTCCTCTAATTCTATTGGTTGAATATGACCAAACCCACTTAATTTCCAATCAGAATTATCATTAATGAAAATAGAACTTGGTTGTATTGATAAATGAATAAATTTTGCAGTACAGTGTAAAAAATTCAATGCATTTGATATTTGTAATAAACCTTTCTGGATAACAACATCATCTAAATCATTTGGTACTGAATTTAAACAAGCAGTTACATATTCAGTAACAAATATGAAATTTGATTTATGATCTTCTAAAGGTTCAATTAATGTTAAAATATTTGGATGTCTAAATTTTGCTAAATTTGAAACTTGATTTCTTAAAATTTCATAAGCATCATTGATAACTTGTTTATCATGTTTTTTAATAATATTATTTTTCAACAATAAGGATTCGAATTTCTTCTTGTCAAAGATGAATACAGATGCTTGACGATCTGTTGATTTATGTCTTGCAGGATAGATAGCCCAAAGATCTGAATGGAATGATGGATTTGATGCAATGGAATAATTTCCTTGAATTCCTGTTTTCCCTTTATGGTGTTAGTTATGATGAGGATACAAAAAGATAGAGGCTTTTGTACTTACACTTGAACATATTCCACGATCAATATGATATCAGAAGCATCAAAGTGTACTCGGTCCACAATGTTTTGAAGTGATTTGCAATTTTATGCCAGCTCATGGGAAAAAATTCCAATTGTTTTCATTTTAATTCGCGAATTAAGGATCAAAATGCAGATACAATTCGCGAACTCTCAAATTGATGAATTGAAAATTTGATTTTGATTTATGTTCCCACTATAATAGAATCATCTGCTATCATCAAAAGTTTGATTGGGTTCGAGTAAGAAACGAATCATTTCATCAGTTAATCCACGAAAATCTTCTGGTGGAGCAATAACATCAGCTTGTGCTTCATCAACATGTATTAAATTCCGATTTAGTACCCTCTAGCTTTGTGAATTCAAGATGATTTACTGACTTATTTTGTGGGATGGTCTTTCTCGAACATGTTTTAGATTGTTTTGGATATGATTACTGCCTAAGATTTAAGTTGGCTGCCTCTTACATCCTGAGCATCCAAATTACCTTGTTAGCAAATAATCATATGTATTTGGGTGAAATAGCTTCCTTTTAATGACTTGTTCTATGATTAAACTTGGAGAACCATGGAACTCAGAATTCAATATCTTCAGTATGCCTGGCTTCTGTGTCTATTTTATAGCCAGTTCCAGTGACACTTACAATCATAGTCAATGTTTAATGTCAATTTCTGGGAAGAAAGTGTTTATTCAATTGACGATGATTATCAATTTACTCAACGACATAATAGTCAGTTCGTATTATAAACGACCATGGATTATCAAGGATTACATCAGTACCACCACTACTCAAATGATTTAATCTCAACTGTTTACTAAATGGTTTTGAATCGTTAGAGAGCGGTTATCATCTTTTACGTCATGATTAAAAATATTGTAGTGTATGACCTCAGCGGCTAATTGGTTTGAATATTCAAACCGCGCGTCTAGTTTAAATTAAGTCGAAATCCACATTTGATTCAATTCTTTGTTTGTATTCTTTATGGATTTATAATTACATTGTTGATGACACTCAACTTTAATGTCATAGTTTGATTGAATTCATTCTGCAAGTGGATTGATTATAACTCCTTGGTTGAGCTTGACAATGACTAAAGGTAACTTCCATAGTTTTACGAATATATTGGAAGTACTCTGCACTAGTGAGTTTGCAGAATAGATTAATAAAGCAGCTCAGAATCATTCGTTAATTATATTTTGAAAGAATCCAGCTGGAGTTTCAGCTAGCAGTTATACACTAGCTAGTTGCATGTGGGATTTATCAGTACTTATGATTAATGAACATACACATTGAGTCGAGATTAGCCATATTATGAATTATTCTAGAGTAGTGGAATAAAAAGTAATTGGTCTACTTCTGAGTCAATGTATGAACTTCTATTAACCTGTAGATATAAGTACAATTGCAGTAATATTAATATCAACTGCGCGGCTAATATTCAGATCATAGTTAATTTAATTAAAACTAGATCATTAATTAATAGCTTAATAACGACGTCATCAAATAGCTGTTATAATATTAGTATAAGCTGTATTAATATTCACACAAACACAATATATTACAGCTAGTTATTATGTCGGGTGCCGCTGGTTTTGATCTTGACTTGTGGTCGCGGGTATAGTATAAATATAAGTCACTTGCCTCTTTGGTTCTGTAGCTAGAATATTTAGTTTAATCATAATAATTTATAATCACTTATCTGATTGCTTGCTATGTCTGGGCATAATACACGAATATATTGGTAAAACGTTGATGAATATATTAATGTTCAATCGTCATATGTCCAATAGCTAGTCTATTGGTGTATTAGACACTGGGCAATATAATATGGATTCTATCATAGTTCAATTAAGACTCTGTGAATTCACGTTAAAAGCCTGTTAAACTACTAATTTGATGAGTACTTTCAATTTATTTAGTCACTACTAATGAATGTTCTGGACTCATTTAATTTGAGATGACACTTTTGATTGATTAGAAACTTTGTAGTTGAATATGAATTTGGCGGCTAATTACAATTATATAAAGAGTACCAGGTATCCCAGTTTTTGGATGGGCGCTTAAGCAAAATTGACTAGCGGACTAAACCAGTTAGATAGCTGTGATGTTTTTATCGTCTTTATCCGTGATAAAATATTTCTAAATTAAACATGTTTCGTGGGTAAGCAGTATTTGGATCAAGGTGTCCTTCTATATTACAGCTGAAATATGCAAAATCAGATCATACTAACAAACTACAAACGTCAGCTTTATCACTGTGTGCTATCCCAATTTAGTGAAGCTTCTCAATTTCTTATACAGAAATTTTCACTGGTAAATGATTAATAGCTTTTATTACAACTAGCTAGGAGTTTAATATTAACTAGTGTTTGGCCAGGTGACAAATTAAATACATTACTAGTGCAAAGCTGTTCATCTTAGTATATTAATTATATTAGTCGACGGGCTAAAGATTCTGAGACTTCAATAGATTATAATAATAAATGAATAAAGCTTTGGCTAATTATATTTTGAGGAAATAACTAGAAAGCTGTAGAGTAACTGCAGCTAGCGGATCATCTAGTCTAATTAAACTACAGGAATATAATGGATATCACTATGAGATTACTATTATACATAAAATACAAAACAATCATCTAGAGATGTATTTATCAATCAAAAAATCCAGAAGTGAATCTTCCAAAGATTCAATATCTGACATTATATCACTATCTTGTCCATTCACTTCTTCATCTTCTGGCTCAACAGTTTCTCCTGAAGCTTGTCTTGCTAAATGATTCTTCGCCAACATTTGGGCAATTTCATATTCTTGACGAGATTGACCAAGATCTTCATAATCATCAAAATCATCATCATTTCCATATTCACATCCGTAATCATTCATGTCAACATCTTCATATTCTTCAACTTCTTCGTCATCATCATCATACCCATCATCATCATCATCATCATCATCATTATCAAATGCATCAAATGCATCATCTTCATCATCACTTTCCCAAACTTTACTCAATGATGATTTGAAAATTGGTTTGTTTGCTCTAATATTTGAGATAATTGACTCATCAGATTTAACACAAATATTACTATCAAGATAATTTGAAAAGATTGGACGTTCAAACTTATCATAATAAACAAGTTCGTTAAATCCTCTCTTCACTTCAGTTTCATCATCAAATACATCACTCCAATCAATTTCCGAATCATCCTCATCAGCAGCAGGAGCATCATGATGAGTTGCTGCAGAGGTTGGACACTTCATAAATTTATTTGAATCTTTTCTAAAATTCTTCAAAATGTTTCCAAATGTATACCCATTTGAATATCTCTTCTTTCTCTTTATACAATTATGACGAGCAATTGTATTGAAATTTTCTCGAAGAGTTTGAAGCTTCTCAACTGGTGGATCATGTTTAGATGTTGGATTCAATGATTTTAGAATCTCACGTTCATAATCAATCCCATGATCATCATCTGAGAAATATTCAATTTCAGATGCAGAATCATCAGGACCCAAGACACCATCCTGTTGTTGTAGTGGTGATACTGGGCTAGGTTTTGCTTGACGACGATTTTTGTAAATTGGTTCTTCATCGAGAATCAACTCATCATCATCATCAAATTCATCAATTTCACGAAAAATTTTAGTCTTATGATTAATCTTTCTTAAAGTTAATTCAATTAACAATTTCCTTTTATCATCACATTCAGATTCATCTCCACAAGAATCAATACGGTTTGATTTGACTTGCTTCATTCTGAATTTTGTTTGTTTGTGTGATGGGACTTGTTTGTTATATAAAGTCTTCAAAAGGTCGGACATTGTTTATAATGTTAATTTATCAATTGATGAGGAATGATAAAAAGCATTATTAGAATTAGTTGGGATTAATTCACTTCTTTTATATTAATCCATTCAATTGTGTTCTATCCAATGTTTGATCATATTGAGACCTTTTCATATAGGATATTTGAACGTGTAAACAGAATATAGTCCAAAACCATCACCTAAACGTCAAAAAACAGCCAAATATTTGTTAAGGAGTATGGGACCTTTGATCATATGAGATCTTTCTCTTCACATGAGAACAATCCAAAAATATCAACAATCATTGAACAGAAAATCATCAACATCAACAGAAATCGAAAGTCTCAAAATCTTGATCCCTTGACAGAATTAACACTTCATACATCACCAACACAGAGAATGACCAGCTTTACGCATCTTTTGAATTACCCGTGATTAACCATAACCAGCATCGATTCAGTTAATGCTTGGTTCAAGTTAAAAATTCACATCAATTTCTATTCGCTAGCCCCTACATTCTTACTGACACGGTTATTCTGTCAATGTTTACGGTTTGATTTGAGACTGTTGAGGTTCGAAACGCGACTAGGAAGACTTAATATAAACGCGACTTTATTAATATTCAAACTGTTAAAAATAATGTAACAACATATTTATGTCCTGATAGGCAAACTTAATCACCCCTTTCAGCATTTGCACCCCAAAATTGCTTCCAGCTGTTTCTTTTGGCTTTCAATCAACAGCTAATGTGGAAATTAAATGACCATTTGATCATCAATTTTGGGACTGGCTAAACTCTGATCTGGTCACTACAGCTCTAGAAATTAAATCAGAAAATACAATATACACAATTTGATCAAAAAAAATAACTGTTTCGCTTAGTTTCTCTAGCTGTTATGCCACTCTATCACTAGCTTTGATATACTTTTGAAGCACTTATTCAAATTCTGGAAAGTTTACTCTTTATCAAACTTAGACCGCATTCACATGGAGCACATGGTCTAGCCCTCCATACTGACACGGTGATTCTGCCATTGTTTTTGTTTGTTGATAGGCAAATGATAGGGGAAGCACAAGTGCTTAAAAGGCAAACTTTACGGGGTTCACGTATAAAAAGAATTCAATTTCATCTTTTATTTGCTTAAATTTTAACATAATTGAGACAATCATTGAAAGCAAGAAGTAAAGATAAAATGACAATGATTCTGATTGGTAGAAAGAAGACAGATAAGGATTGTGGTGAAAGAGATCAAGATGATTCATCGAATGGACCAATAGGGAGTGTTGTTGTTGATGAGGATGATTTATTTACATCAACTGAACAATTGACTAGAGATGATATTGAAAGAGTTGAAGAGACAAATCAACAAGCTGATGATTCAATGATTACTGTTGAAAGTGATGAAGAAGCACCTGAAGAATCCCCAATTTTGAAAAAATCCATGGGTGATGCTGATAAGGATTCTGATGTTGAAATTATTGAAGATAATAACGTCCAGGAAATCAAAAAAGATAACAAAAAACAGACTAAAGCTCAGAACTCAAATGGTATTGAGAATGGTTTTGACGATTATGATGAGGATGAAGATGAAGACTATGACTATGAAAATGAGGATAGCAACCATTCAAAATCACAACTTTTCAGTTCTGATGAAGAAAGTGATATTACACCAAACCATGAACCACATGTGCAATTGACAGCTGATGAAATTACAGCTGACCTTCTAAAATATGTTGAAATGTGTTCAGAAAAGTGTGGTGAAGCTTTAGATGATTGTTCTGAAGCAGTATTAACATCTGGAGAAACATCTGATGAAGATGAAGAAGATCATGGATATGGATTCACTACTGATTTGGATTTGAAGACCTATGATTGGAATGAAGAGGATGAAGATGCTGATGGTGATTATCACCCTTATTTACCTCAAGATAAATACCTTGATGATTCAAAAGAGGCTGTTTATTCCGAAGGGGAAACATCAGATGAAGATACAGAGGATCATGGTTATGTCGGACACTCATCAAATGTAGATTTGCAAAATGTTGATTGGGATGAAGATGAAGATCAAGATCATCCAGATGAAGATTACCTTCCAGCCTTACCTGGTGATAAGATCCTTGATGACTCACAAGAAGCTGTTTATTCAAACGGTGAAACCTCAGATGAAGATCAAGAGGAGCATGGGTTTGTTCGTGATGATGTTAATCTTGGTAATTATGATTGGGATGAAGATTCAGAGGAGGAAAATGCTGATTATGATTATTTACCAGCATTACCAAATGAACACTTACTTGTTGATTCACAAGATGCTGTTTACTCTGATGGTGAAACTTCTGATGAAGATGAGGTAGACCATGGTATTCTCATTGATGACAATATCAGCCTAAGTGCCTTGAATAATGATATTTGGGATGATGATAGTGATGGTTCTGATTTTGAATACCTTCCAGAGCTAAGTAACATCAAAGTTATTAAAGAATTAGATGCTGAGTCAGAGGTGTCCATGTCTAGTGACTTATCCTCTGAGGAAGATCATTTCGATAACGTCAAAAAGATGTATAATCAAGCTTTGAACAAGGTTGTTGAAGGAGATGATGAAACTGATGATTCTGATTATGTTCCTGGTGATGAATTACAAATCGATGAAGATAGTATTGATTCTTATGATTATCATCTCAGTTCCAAGAAGAGACCCTGGTCTGATGTTAATGAACCTGAGGAAATTGAAGAGTCTAAAGAAGTTAATTATAAGGTTCTCCACAAGAAACAACGTACGGAAGGACAGTTGAAACGTACATTAATAGCAGGGACGGTTGGTGCAGCTACGGGTGCTGTTGCAACTTTTTTTGGGTTGGTTTTTGCTGGTTCTGAGTGAATTATAGGTGTTGATGTTTAAAATCAGGTATTTGTTTGGAATTTATTTTTATATGCTCTATTAATTTTTGTACTTATTTGGTTGGTTTTTGAAGGTTGTGAGGGTTTGGTTATAGTAAAGCTTGGGGTTTTTTTTTTCATTTATACTATATTAATGTTGTTACCTTGATATACTGGATCGTAGTCATTCTGTATCCAATAATATGCGCTAAACATTGAAAGTATTGTTAGGCTTAGGCTAGAAACGTCATGAGCGATCTTTACATGAAGCTAGTTAATAATTATATAATGGATTCGTTATATGAGTTATGTAAATATTAGGATTAACTACGTATATAATCCAAAGATCAATAGCGGTGTAATTAAAGTACTTGAAATCAA